AAATATTAAAAAAAAAAAAAAAAAAAAAAAAAAAAAAGTGCTGAACTGTTTTATATTTTCAATAGGTTGATGATCCCAGCAAGCCCAATGATGAAGGAATTACACCTTTGCATAACGCAGTGTGTGCTGGCCATCACCACATTGTGAAGTTTCTCCTTGATTTTGGGGTAAACGTAAATGCAGCAGATAGCGATGGGTGGTAAGTAATAAGATTTTTAACTTAGCATCTAGAAAAACACTATTTTGTTGCAAATCCAAAATGGAGTGGAGACCTGTTTGCGGAACAATTTCCTTCCCCGTTTCTCCCAGTAAATGAGCACTTCCTAATCTCCAGATGGTGACAAACTCAAATGTAGAGCTCCAGGATATTTAACCCACATGCGATCACCCTTGAATCATAAATTATACTGTATTATGTTTTTACCTTTTAGGTGCATTTCGTGTTTACATGCTGAAGCAATTTAAATAAGGAGCGACAAAAGTTTATGCTTCATTTTTATGTAACCCATCCACAGATTGTGTTTCTGAAGAATAGGTCTAGCCTTCCAAGTAGATGTAGCACTTGTAAACAGTTTGGAGATAGGAAACCATGCTATGCCAAGCACTTGTTCCCCCACCTTATTTTATAATTCAAATTCCCTCATATTGAAAAAGATCCTTTTATGTCCAGCAGTCCTGCAAGCTATGAAAATTGCTATTTTTGTTAACATCTATTTTAGAAAGTTTGGCTTTACTGGAGTCAGGTAAGCGTTGGAATCCACTCCAGGTTGTTCAGCAGGTTTAGAACAATGCATATATACACTATAATCATAAAGAGCAACTGGCTTTAAAAATAGATGGACTAAAAGCTGTATTGCAAGAGAAAATAGGATTCCTGGAACTTTATTTTTTTGATGCCTACATGTTTGCTTTATTTCAGGACACCTTTGCATTGTGCTGCTTCTTGCAATAGTGTTCATCTGTGTAAACTACTGGTTGAATCAGGGGCAGCTATTTTTGCTTCAACTATAAGTGATATCGAAACTGCTGCAGATAAGTGTGAAGAGATGGAAGAAGGTTACATTCAGTGTTCCCAGTTCTTGTATGGTAAGCTGTGATCAGACTTTACAGACTTTTTTTTTTAGCCTTTGTAAAATTCCTCCCTTCCCTGTCACTCTGAAACATATGCTTAGGCCCTGGACTTGAGAATATTGCCCAGCATGTTTTTTCAAATATTTTTTAAAAAGTCTTTTGGTTATGTCGCTTACAATCCTTGCCTTCTTTGCTCACAGGTTCCTTCTAATGCTAATTTTTAAATATTAATTTCATTTAATTTCAAGGAAATGTTTGCAGTGGGAGGTTCTCACAGTAACAGTGAGCTGTCAAGTATCTCAATAAAGACATTAACTTCCAGATGCATAATTTTTTAGCAGATTACTTTGAGACATATTTTGCAAGAAAGTACCTCCATGGAGCAGAGAAATTTAATTTACAGAGAAAGGCTAAAAGCTTTGTTAAGGCTCTGTATACCTGGCATTGTGCAGATTTACAAAAGCTTCAAGTATTACTATATATAAGATCTGTTACAGAATGTAGGCCCATGAGAAACATGCACCAGACATCTGCAAAACTATTTTCCTTATTTGAAAAAAAAAAAACCCACACCATGGTTTCCATTGTACATATATATATATATATATTTTATATATATGAAGAAAACAACCACCACCACCAACAGCAAAAAAACCCTCATGCTCTAAATTGTTTTCAACGATTCTGCCAGATTTGATTTTATCACATAGATAAATTTCTGAAGTTGTTTCAGGAAGTGCTGAAAATTGTTCATGGAATGTTATTAATGAGACTAATATTTGAGCCTCGATGTCCACCCTAAACATCTCAGAGGGAAAAACAGGTTATTTTTACCGTTTAGTGTATTGTCTAATTTGTTGTTAACAGGCGTGCAAGAAAAGTTGGGAGTGATGAATAAAGGAGTGGTGTACGCTCTGTGGGATTACGAAGCCCAGAATAATGATGAGTTGTCATTCCATGAGGGTGATGCCATTACTATTCTGCGACGCAAGGATGACAATGAAACGGAGTGGTGGTGGGCCCGCCTCAATGATAAAGAAGGCTATGTGCCTAAAAATCTTCTTGGGGTAAGTTCTAAGATACTTTCTCCTCTCTCTCTTTTTATTTTTTTTAATTTTGAAAATAGGACCACAAGATGGATCTGTGGTCAGACTCCCTCTGTGCACCATCTGAATGCTCCACTATTAAGCAGTGCAAAGCAGAGTATCCTTATTCTGTTTGGCCTCTATTACTGAAAACAGAAAGGAGAGGCTACAATTAAGAGATTAGTCCTACACTTACTAAATAAGTTATTACAGCCTAATATATACTAAGTATAGTAAGATTTACTTCCCTTGGTTAAAAGATAAGGCCCCTGTGCAAAGTACAGTGGCTTTATTAGGCAGCTGTAGGCTTTAGCCCAAAAGTTTAGAAAGGTTTTTAATACCTGGCACAAGGTAAGCAATATATTTATACAACTTTAAAATGGGAAGAAACTTTGAAGGTGACAGCTTCAGGAAAGTCATTTATGCTGTGCTCAGTCAAATGTAACACTGCTATCACAAAAGACTAGGAATGTAAGGCCTCTAAGTGGAGCAATACAGAGGACAAAATGTGTAAGAAAGCCTTATAGAGATTGAAGTAAGCTCTCTCTAGGGCTAAATGGGGAACTCTTGTACTTACGTAGATGTGTCCTGTAGCATAGTTTCGGTGCTCTTTGAAGGAGTAAGTCAGCCCTTGGCTTCCCGCTGTTGCTGGTTTAACTTTTCAGAAGTAACTTAAGAACATGCTGTAGCTTAACAAGCAGAAACGCATCTCACACCCATAAAACGCTTCATATCACTCAGTTCTTTTAAGTACCCTTTGGTTGTAATTAAATTTGTTTATATTCAAACTGGTATCAACCATGCAAAGCCTAATATTTTCATTTTGTTTTTACAGTTATATCCACGAATAAAACCTAGACAGCGAACCCTTGCTTGATTTCAGTCATACAACAGTGCAATACCTTGATGGTAACTGGAAACTTAAAACATACACTGGAGCCATTGTTTTTGATCATTTCACATGGAGAAATAAAACTATGATATTTAGTTTTAATGGTGCTTTCTCTTGTTAAATGGACAGCATCCAAGATTTTCCAGATCTGCAGTTTGTAAATGAAGATTGTTTTATGTGACCCACCACTGATGAGGAGAGCGGTATCTCCACTACCTACAGTGTTCTACCAACTGTTGTCTAAAGCAGTGTATTAAGTTAAAGTTCCGTGGTAGGAGCTTTCTTGTGTTAAGTGTTCAGAGGTGTCATTTGCGAAGTGCAGATACGCTGTCCAGTTTGCTCCAACCCCACAGTAACTGTCCCACATCAGGATTTTGGATATTTTGTTCAATACCAGTGAATGTTGAGTTCTCTCATTGCTGATCAGCTTTTTGGGTTCTAGGACACAAAATCTTCACCTATTACATGCATAAGTACGTAGTCACCAAAGCTTTATGAAGGCTAGGATTTTAAGTGTTAACATGCTTACATACTTAAATCCTAGTCTAGAAAACCCCAACAAAAGCTTTACATAGTCTAGCATCTAGTATTATTTGCATTTAGACTCAAGCTAGAAAACTAACCAAACAAACAGCATTTGTACGCTTCTCAAAGCCCCTAAGGAATAGGTCACTTGGTGTTATATTTTCTTATTATTCAGCCTACAGCACCAGTGTTACCTCTACTAATGTAAAGGTTCCCCTACTAACCACTGCAGTTTGTCCATTCAGGACAGAACAATTATAGTGAACTTGCAGCAGCTTAAGGGATTTGTATGTCTGCATGGATGAAAGTGCAATAGTTGAGAAAGGTAAGAGTCAGGTAAGAGTTATATTGTATAATTTGAAGTCTGCCCAGGTCAGTCTAAAAGAAAATATGAAGGACTGAATAGAAGTAGAAAGTGAGGTGTGTAGATGCTAAGTCGAGGAGAAGAAAGAAATGAGGTATAGAGAGGGATTTAAGAAAGGCAATATGTAATTTTTAAGGACAGTTTCTGTGGTTCTTGGCAGCCTACATCTGTTGCCAAGGCAAGTTATGCAATAATCTATTCCACTACATTGTAGTTTCAAGCAAAAAAAAGAAAAAAAGCACTTCACTGGAATTTTAATTGTACATGATTTTATATACCAAAAGTATATTTTGAATTTCCCATTATAAGTTGTAGCCATATTTCTTGTAATTTTCTCCCATTAAACAGTATGCAATTTAATTAATTCTTCATGTACAAGTTCTGTGTATAATTTATATATCCATTTCTGCAGTGCTGTAACTTGCTTTTACCACAGATTAGCGTTAACTGTATATATTGTGGTGAAAAGTGAAAGGGTATTATTGTTGAAGAATTTGCTACATGAATGTGATGATTTCAAGAGCCTATGATACACTAATTCAGAGAACATGTAAATGTGCACAATAAAGTACTGCTAAGGCATGGCTGCATTCTCCTGTTTGTTAATAGCAACTGTAGACATGCCATTGGTCATAGTCTACATAAAAAAAACAAACTTACCTGTATAGCTTCTCATGTTCTGTTGATGCAATTTCCTCGTTGTTGTACCACTTGCACAGGAACTGACTTACCAAATAATTTTTAAAGCACCTTACACTATAAACTGCAGTATTCCAACTGTGGCAAATAAATACTTGGCTAGAAATGCTCTGCACACAGCCTAACACATCCTTTGCACACAGGCTGATAACTGAGCCTTGCGTGCTTGTTGAGGGAGATGGAAAGCAGAAAGATGCCTGGTATATAGCATGTGTAGGCAGAGGATTTGTGCCAGTAGTTTTAGCAAATTATCAAAGCTTAAAATCAAGATTAGGGTGCTGCCTATAACAAGTCAAAGCTTTCAGAGTTCAGACAGAGACCATACTATCTATCATTAAAGAAACTACACTGTGAAAGCATCAACACATTTTTTAAATAAGTGAATTAATTTATTCATTTTTGTACATTAAAATGTATACAATTCCAGATACCATTACAGTTAGATTAACAAAAGCTAGTTACCAAAAAGAAAATACAAAACTAAAAATCATTCTGGAAGCTTAGTTATTACAGAAGGGAAGTTTCAAAATCATGTAATTCCAATTTGGTGGTATTTGGTGAGATGTGTTAAAAAAATCAATTGACTTCTATAAAATCATATCTAAGGCAGATTTTATTGTACATTGATTTTTAAACATTTGGATAGAGGGAAAAACCTGAGATCTAGACCCAAAAGCTATTCTCTGCAGAAGAGACATATACCTTTGTTTGCTTTTTGTGGCAAACAGTATATATAATTGTTACTATAAAAGTTGTGCTGTACATTAGCTGTAGTGCAGGTCACTTTCATATTTCATATTAAGTGCCAATAAAGGTTTAACAAAATATACAAAGTCTTAAAAGGTGAGACTGTTTAAAGCATTAATTGTATACATATTGCACACTATAGTGAATACTCATGGTTCAAAATAAAACATTGCAGTTGCCAGATCTTACAGAATGAACCACACTGGAATGACAAAAGGTCAAGAAGAACAAGTGTTACCTAGCCGCCAGGTTAGCAAAGTGAGAGGCAGGTCCTTCAAGGCTGGTGTCTTCCCTCCAGCTGCCAACAGTCTGCTGTTCTTACTGGTCCCGAGACTCATAAAGAAGTTTTGTTGCCTAATATAAACACAAAACATTACCGTATTGACTGCTTGAAGTTTCACTTCTGCTACAAAGCTCCTTGCAAACACTTTACGCCTCCCTCCCTTACCTTATGCATAGCTGCCAGCCAGCTTGCTGACAACTTCTTGTTAGAGGTGTAGTCTTCACTGGCTGTAAACTTCATCTGTGTTAGCTCCTCTGATCCTGGTACTTTATACTGTAGAATCATACCTATGGCACGAGTATTACCTCCTGAAAAAAAAAAAAATCCTGAACAAAACTTCACAAACTAAATAAACACAACTTTTTAGCTAATAGTCACAGTTGAAGACATCTCACCACTTGATTCAAAGCACTAAAAACTGCAAGTGCACCAAGTGCAGCATCAGGAGACGGTGACAAAAGGGTGTTAATGCCAGGCAGCGCAATGTGCAGACTCAGTATTGTCTAGTTCTGTCATTCTGTCACTGAGGCAGAGCTTGTAGAAGCCACTAATTAGAGAGACAAAACTCTTGTATTTCAGTGTTACCATCTGCCTTCTGTTAAATAGATACCACGGCTTCACAATACAGCCAGCAGTTTCTAAACTGAACTACTCTTGTCCAGTTAGACTGGTATCAAACAGGGATCCTTGCTTGATCCCAAGTCTGGCACATGAGTGATAAGCCCCACCAAATTTGGCAAAGGTTGAGAAAGATGCTTCCACAATAGGAGCTGGCAAAAACTTTGTTTATTTCCTGAAGGAAATCCACTACAAAAGACATTGCTCTGACAGCAGCATGGTAAGAAGTTGTTTACATCTCTCCTACTCTAGCTGCACAGAGATTAAGATAAACCAAAGCAAGAATACAGAAATGAAACAAAAGCTTTGTGAAAAACAGCACATTGATCCTTCACATTCAGTTACTGGCTTGCTTATTTACTGAAGTAGTAGCCACGAACTAAGTCACAGGAACAGCACCACCACACACAGAAGGACGTTTTGCAAAGTTCTTTTTACGAAGACTGTTTGCACAAGAAGAAGGTGTCCTGGAGGCCATGACAGTAATATCCAAGAAGCCAAACAAAGACAATCCTGGTCTAAGCAATGTGATCAAAAGCCTGCAGACAGCGTTTGCAGACACAGCTATTTCCTCCTCTGGTAGGAGAGACTGCAATCCAACTTCATCACTCGCTCTCCTGCATCTACCCAGTCAGCCTAACAGCTTGTACCAGGTACTAGGCAGTACACACAGAATGTATTGCTCATTCCTGGTGTACAGAATTCAGCACACCTCTGCTAAAGTAGGTGATGGGTAGAAGTCTTCCCTCTTCTAGCACAGACATGTATATGTAGTCTAAAGGAGGAATCAAGTGTTTTAGTTCTCCTCCAAGCAGTTACAAAACATTCATTCTCAGTTTATTAAATAGATGGGAAGGGATAAATACATGAACATAACTTGTCTTAAGTTGAACAGCTATAGATCAAGCAAAAAACTAGCACTGCAAGGGAAGACAGATGGGAGAGGGGTCGTAACAGCATGCTGAAGTGAGTCATGCTCACACAAGGTACTGGCGATACCTTCAGTAATATGCTGGCTCTCCAGAAGGCTGGTGTAAGTGTGAATATCTTTTTCTACCATCAAGAAGGAAGGCAGGCAGGCAAAAAGATAAAGCGATCAGAATAGTAATGAACAAGAAATTACAGGAGCATTAAGCAACTCTGCAACACATCTCATTGATTTGAATACCAAGTTCATTAAAGTTAACATGCTGTACTGCCACTGCACGGACTGTCCAATTAAAAATTCCAGCAGTGACAGAGATGTTGCTTACTAAGCAATTATTAAAATTCCTGACCTTGTTTGCTCTCGTTTTAATGCAATCATATTTTAGTTCATCCTGAAATACTAAGAAATCTGTCCAGATATGAGGCAGTTAAGTAGCTACCAAAGTATTCCAAGATATTAGCAGTTTCACTTAGCCACCCCTTTATCTTGAATGAAATTAAGAAAGCATATATATATATCTATATTATTTTTTTTTTGAGTAGCTTCTCTTACTCTCCTCTAAGTTGTTTGCACAAATAGAAGAGAAATCTTGGCTGGATTCTGAAACAGAAGCTAAGACTGATAGCTCCCTCCAGTGAGCTTTTCAATCCATAGATGTTTAGCAAGGAGAATAGATCAGACCAGGTGACGATCACCTTTATCAAGGAGTTCCCCCATTATTAAAGTCCTAAAGTAATGTCTGAATTTTTAAGTTTCACCTAAAATCCCATCAGCCACATGGACAGCTTCCATGCACTACACTCTACTCCGAGAACCACTGTAATACAATAATGCAGTTACACCTGAGCTACCAGAAATGCACTATCTAGCTTGAACAATAATTACCACTTCATCTTTTTCTTAATAGTCAATTTGTATTTAATGAAAAAAATTACCTCCAGGAGTAAATCCCTCTGTAAGTATCTGAACAGTTGAAATCTGTACAATTTCAATTTCATAGTGGCTGTTTCCATCCAAAACCAGGTATCTATACGAAAAATAAAATGTTTTTTGTTATTTTATTAAAGTTTCTTGTTTACAATATCAAGTCCAAATGAAAGGAATTAAGTTAGACAGAGTCTCTCTTTGACTGGTAGCCTGTATACTTCTCAGAGTGGGGAGGGAGCAGAGTCAAGCAGGTGAAGTTACTTTTCATTGAAGTGCTTCACTTAAAAGAAAAATAGAGAATTGTAGAGCAGTTTGCCAGGAGACCTATTCAAAATATTAAATGCATTCCTCCAGAGTTACAGGGCAAGAAGAGAACGTGGAGTTTGAAATGCTCCAGCCAGCCAAACTAGGGATGACCAAAGCAATGCTCTGACTGTAACATTAAACAATACTGTGCAGCACTGGACTCATCATTCTGAAACAAGTTTTTTTTTTTTCAGTAGCTATGGATTTTTTTTCCCCAGTCCTTCTTCCTGTAAGCCTTTTGTTAGCTGTCAGAAACACTGTACTGCAGTGCCACCGAGACATTATCAAGGAGCGGAGCTCTGTCATTCCAAGGCATTCCAGCATTTCTGCTTCTTGCTGCTTCTGGAAACAGTCTTCACTGAACAAAGCAAGAGGAGTGCTTCACATCTCCGAGGGCCCCTTTTCCACACTGCTATTAAATTCACACACCCTTAGCCCAATAACATTATATCCATCCTTTCAGTCAGATTATTCTTCCAGTATCCTCACTGGAAGCTATGCTTGTATTTTGTTTGTGTTATGATAACAATATAGCCGTGTTCACAAGTGCAATTTCTATCAGTCCTCCTCACCTCTGATTGTTGGAAAGTCGACAAACCATGAGCTCAGATTTATCAGATGTTCCCAGAGTTACAAAGAACGAAGCACCTGAAAAGAAATGTTCCAGTATTCAATGCAGAGTTTGGGAAGAAACATTCAAGAATCAAAAAGGATACTTACTGCACTGATTCGGCTCAATTAGGAGACTAACTGGAACATTAAACTGACATAAACTGATAAACACTGACAGGACATTCAAGTATAGAAAGGTTTTTAGTTAGTTCTGCACCATATGACCATTCACAATTACTATGCAATTCCACCTACACTGTAGATAAATCATGTAAATCATATTTCTAAGATAAATCTTTCAAAAAATCTTTCAAAAATAAGTACAGATTTGGAGATGGCAAAACCAGACGATCCTACCTTCTTAAAATTACACAGAAGAATCAAATAGCAGGATGTGACCTTTAGCTGCATGCTTAATAGATACTAAGACACCTCTCTCACTACTGAAGACTAGCTCAGTCTTACTTTGAGGTCAGTGAATTGCAGCCTTCATGTTGTATTTCTCTGCCTGCTCCAAACAGCTCCTCTGGCATCAGGAAAGTCACCTTAACTACATGAGCCAAGTGATTCATAAAGCAGACTACATGCCCACCTCTTTATTTCCTCCATGTATTGTTACACTCCCTGTATTACCTAATCCCAACACTGTTGGTCTGGGAAGTTAAAAAAAAACAAAACCAAACATACGGCACTGTCAATTGGCCTGTGAGCTATCTCCACAATCTGAATCGTGCAGCCCCATAGCTTCACCTCACGATCTATTTCATAATAGCACCGTGTCTCACTGACCCTCGGTATGGGGCCCCGGGCTGCTGCCGACATGAGACAGAGAGGGACCAGCAACACAACTACCATGGAGATCAAAATCGCCATTTCTCTGAGATCTGAACCTCCACAGCAAGGCAGGAATAACTATAGACGTTAATTGCATAACATGAATGCAAGCAGGACTTTTTTAGTATTTATTTTCTTATATCTTCACATTAAAATATTTTTTTAAAGTTGTCTTCTGTGCATGGTAAAGAATGATTTGTATACTATCAGGGACAAATGTAGCTCTGTCTGGACCTAGAATCTTCCTAGGAACAAATCAGAGGCGTGGTTTAGCTTACCAACTATACACACCTGCATCACACTGAGTGAAGAGCCCATCAGAAGGCCCCAAACAATTAGAGAATATTTTGAAAACTGAAGATTCAGCTTTCTTAATATAATTGGAACATGAATTGCTGTATTGCATGTAGCTTTAATGCTATGCAAAACTCACCACGCTTACGACCTGCCATCAACCACAGCCATGGGCCATGCACAAGATCAAAGCACAGCATCCTGTTAATTGTTTTAAAAATGTCTGTTAAGCATTTTCATCCTTATTTAGCGTAACTAACAGAAACAGCTAAAAGGTGGACTACATTAATAAAGTGCCAACCACACACTTCTGTCCTCAAAGGCATTAAAAACTCCTTTGTCTTTAAAGAATTCTGTAAATACCTGACCCAAATCATACACTTCTTGCTAAATAAGCTGATAATATAAAATTAAATGGCAAACATGCAACAACAAATATGTATTTTAAGGAGACAAAACTGCAATGTAGGAGCTCATTTGACAAGAATTAGTCATGCCAGTTATCAGTTTTGTTTAACACAGCATCTGAACAAATCTAAGTGAGATTGAAACAGCATATATGTGCACTTGGTACTTACCATTCATGAGCACTTTAAGCTGCTTGTCGTAAAACTCTGTTTCTTTCTGAGAGATGAGGGCACATTCAGCACACTGGCGCACGGGGTCCACAAAACACATGCGAGGCAGAGGCACTTTTTTACTGCAGCATTTGTCACAGAAGCACTTTCCACATCTTCGGCAGTGATGCTAAGCATGAGAGGAGATTTTGTTTATTTACAAAAGAAATTATTAGAGAATAATTTGATAAAAGGTCCCACATTAAACATCCCCCTCCCCAAGAAACAGCACAGTTTCTCAGGTGTAAAACGTACATGTTGAAGGGACAGGACAGTAGTCAAGTGGTAAATGACATCGAGCTGCTGTAGCGGTAGAAAGAACTCTCTGAAGACTGAACCCTGAAGACTCTGTGTAGTATGAAAAGCACTACAGGCCTTTGTTGGCACTCTGCCAAGAGACTTTTAAATCAGACCAGAGAAGACACTGAGAGGACCCTCCCAAATTCCTCGCCTGTCAGTAGAAATGCAAGAGAAGAGTGGTTTCTAGAACCCTTCCTACTTCCAAGAAGAGATCTCTGGGACCTTCAACTGCAGATGCTGTTCTCCCTCAAAACTTGTTCTCAAGTTTTTTTCCCAGGGAAAATGCTAAGAACTTTCATTCCTAAAACCTAAAGCCCCATCTCTACCAGAAATATCAGGTGGCATAGTACAAATCCAGCAAAGTTATAATACAATCAGAGCAGCTCCCAAACCTTCACCAAGTGGCTCAAGCTCCAATCACTACTGGGGTGTGACAGTCCCAGTAGTTCCTCCTGATGCAAGTTTCCATGGGATGACAGTATCTCAGGCCAGAACAAGTACTCTCAGGCAAGCCAGAACTGATTTGTGGCTCAAAGCAAGTTTCAACAGCTTGATACAAGGCACTGATAAACTGCAGTTCTGATCACTGTTAGACATTTCTACCAAGTATTACGCAAAGTTCTCTGAAGCACCTACTACCCATGGCTACCTCCATTTACTTCCCAAAGGTAACACAAGTAAAATACAGCAGCCTGATGAACTACTGCTTCTCAACCAATCCATGTTCTTAACTCATCCAACTAAAAGGTAAATAAAAAAGTCTATATTCTCTTAGTTCTTATAATGTAGTTACCCTGATGTTCTTCAGCCTTTCTGAAAACTTACATCTCTCCGGTACAGCATGTCAGTATGTCTGTTTTAAAGTTTCTCCTTCCTTTTCCCTCCAAACAATACATTACAAATCATGAACTAGGTCAATGCATGCAAGTCACACTTCCACATCTTTCTGCACTTCCACAAGCAAATGCTAAACGCCCATCAGTGCAGTAATACAAAGAAACATTATTATCTCCTAAAATCATTGTTGGCTTCTTTTGGGAGACTGCCAAACCCCGTTCCAGCAGGTTTTCTGACAGCAATATTCTGTAAACCAGCAACAATTCCGCAGTGGTCTGCTTGAAATATGATCATTACATAAAAGTTTTTTCTTCATGCAGGGAACCTAATTATGGTTCACAGCAATCAAGGCAGTTTCTACTTTAATCAGAAATTCCCCTTTCCCATTGTGAGATCAGTTGCGTTTCACTTCTAGAACAGACGGACAATCTGACTTTTGGCTCTCCATATTTGAGCCATACAGCCCTTTAATGTCAGATTGCAGTTCATTACTCCTGAAAACATTTGCTTACATTTCCACAACTAAGCTTATCTCCCAGGACACAGCCACGTTAGTTCATCTGGTTTCTGTGTCAGTACTGATGTTAGCAGCCTTCTCCAGCGTGGGCTCCTCTAACTATTCCTGTGAATGTAAATCCTGTGGGTACACAGCATTTGGGAAAAGCCCAAACACGCTGAGCAACAGGAAGGTCAAAGAAACAGAACATAAAAAAGAAAAAAAAAAGTCCTCTACTCAGAAAAGGCAGAACAGAAAGAAAAACTATTTGAATGTACAGCAGACTTTGCATGATATTCTACTGAAATCATCCACATTTTAAACCAGAGCTCCATATTAGCATTTTGCAACAGTTAAAACATTGTATTTTGTTGATTTCTTACCTTTCTAGTTATGAAGTCGAATTTTGTATCACACTGCATACATCTTGGGCACTACAAAACAGTACAAAATAACATTAACCAACAACATTTCTAGATTTGTAATCATACTACTACCACATGCAAAGACTGGGCTTTATTGTTATTCCCCAAAAAGAACTGCCTCCGAGAAGTTTACATCCTTTAATCTTTTTCACCACGGTTTTCATTTATTTTAATACAGATGTAGCAAAATAACGTCATCCCCACTCACAAGACAAAAAAAAGCAGCCAAACTCATTCACCCTAAGGAATACTACATCCTGTCAGCAGTCAAAACTACATTTCTGAAGTTCTTGTCATGCTTAATTACGTTTGGCTGTCCAGACAGTCATATATTCTGGAGTTAACTATGTTTTCATGCAAGTTGTCATCCTGTTGTGATGCTTGGTTGACACTCTAAAACACTGTTTACATATTTTATTGCTCTCGATACTTGCATATTTTTAAAACACTCTAGGAGATTTTTGGTTTTCTTCCAAGCCACTAGGACTTATTTTTTATTCCAGCTACAAAATGTCACTACTTCCTGAAGCATCTCTTTCCTAACACAAGGTTACGCCCACGCTCTTCCCAAAAGAAAAGCCAGAAAAAAAACTGAAGAGGCTTCTCTCTCCCAGCTGAGTGTACAAGTACAGGTCAGCAGCTCTGACTTGCTTAAATACTAGAAGTGTTCAGTGATTGTTACAATTAACATTTTCTGTGCAGAAAGTCACCTTCCATAGGGCTGATACTCAGAAGTCGGATTGCTGAATTTTCACAACTTCACTTATTTTTATCCACTGTATCAAAAAAAAAAAAAAAGGGGTGGGGGGAGGGAGGGAACACTCTCTGAGGCTCACAGATAATTACTACCAGATTTATTTGCAAATGTTAATGCAAAATTACATCTCACATCTGAATCGGAACATAGTTGGATGATTCTTCCCGTGAGTTTTCTAACTCTGGAAACCTGAACTCTTCAAACCAAGCTTTCACAGAGTTCAGCAGAATGTCATCTTAAAAACATGCCCTAGGCTGAGCTGGTGTCATTTGCTAAAAACAGTTATCACTGTTTGCCTTTAATTAATACATTTCAATACATAACCCTCTATCTTCTAAGAATTCATTCAGGTTACAAAAGTTTTGGAGTCTGTTTCAGGGATTTCTGTTTCACCACATTCCCAATCACTGTCACAACTTCTACAACAGTAACCAAGAAAACACTACAGCAGCTACGTTAAGAAAAAAAAATCTTTAGAAACTTCTTAAGTAAAAGCTTGTTTGTAATTTACAACAGTTTATACAAAGCATTCTCACATCTAAACAGAAGTTTAGCAAATTAGAGAGTAACAGCCGTCGCTGCAATGGAACACAAATAGCTACTCTGCAATATTTGCTACAGGAAGCTCTTTCTAAATCCCAGACAAAGGAGAACCAGCAGTGTTCCTGCACTGTCTCAAGTAATGCACTGAACCAAGGCACCCAACCTCCTCTTTTCACAATGGCCATATAAAAGCTTATTCTGACATTCGCTGATTAATAACCTTGAGCACAAGACAACATCAGCATTCCCAAGGTTTTCTCTGTAACAAGTAACACTCTACAGCTTACACCATGTTTTGCTGTGCACTGATCTTCATTTAGTGTTTTAGTTTTTTTCATGTATGGAGCTTAATTGTTTGCCCAGAAGCTGGGCAGGGCATGGATTTCAAAATACTTCGAGTTTTCCAGGAGTATAATTCATTTTTGTAATGAAAATTTGTAATTTTGGTTCGAAATCAGAAAGCAGAAGCCACAACCTTTTCTAAAGCTTTTCTAAACACCATCTTAAATAGGTTTCATACACAATATTGGGCAAAATGTAAAATCAAGTACTTTTAGTACTGCAAGTACTAAATTCTGTTACTTTCAGCAAGTAACAGAATTACCCATCTTATTTCCTACAAACTACAGAAAATTATTTCTGAATCCCAGACCCATCATGATAACGTTGCCTAACATAGAGCGCAGTCAGAGATAAGTCACAAAGTGAAATGGCACGCAGTGGCAGAAATCACAGAAGGCTGTTTTCCTACCAAAATGTTCTGACACAAGCAGACTCAACATACTGTTCCTTCAAGGCACTTCTGCTTTGAGTAACCAAACCCAAGAGAACCCGTTTGCATAACAACTTCACCAGGGAGCTCTTCCCAGGCACAGCAGCAGCATTTCCCCAGAGGTGAACCCTTCGCGTTTGGCCACACGCTGACACCAGCACGCGAGCACTGAGCTGCTTCAGTTTGGTAGCGCATTGGCAAGAAGATAGTGCAACACCTGAGATACTTCTCATGTCCTCAACACACAGGCTTTTTAAGACTACTGCAACTCTGATTTTTGTTTTGAAAGCAGAAGCACTCAGATACAAAATAAGATATTAAATAAAACCCATATAACAAATACATTGATTTAACACACAGCCAGCATACTGCTGATTCTGGCGGATTGCTGCTGTCATTACTTCAGCAAGAAGAAAACGGAAGCACCAGCAGTCGTTGGCTATCAGCATTAATTTAGAAGTACTGAGAGCAAGTTCAGCACAAGTAGAGAGGAACTTCTGATGCGTTTGCTGAAGCACGGTAACGAATTAGCGTAATTCCTCAGCCCCAGAGGTAAGAACAGTGCAGGTCGGCAGCAGGCTCCAGTTACACTTCATGCGCTGTATTTGCATATACAGTAACGAAGCGATAGATGTGATGCAAGCTAACACCTGGCTAAGCACATTAACACAGCCAACATTTGCCAACATGGAAGTCTGCGAGCTCATTCAATCAGAGCTCAACGTGCCTGACAAGCACAGCTGGTGCCAGCGGCAGATGCCTTCTGATAACAGCGGGACTGTGCGCAACCGGTTCCTTGCCGGGGCTGTGAGCTCGCTGGTGGTGCAAGAGCAGCGCTGTCACGCAACCACCGAGCGCCTGAGCCACACCAAGCTGGGTTCCATCGTATCGTTCTCCCATCGGCTGCTCTCTGAGGCAGGCATCACTCCTCGGCCACCCGAGATCTGGGACACAGCCTGATGCCACAAGCTCTGTCCACCTCTGCATTGTAACACCCAAATTTTACAGGACTCCTACTCCATGACTTCCCCCACCAGTATATCATTTGTTGAGCTCTTCTGGGGATTAGCAAGAAGCTTTGGTTCAGACCCTTGGCACATGCAGTGACCAACACCTTAAGCTCTGTCTCAACTTTAATCATGTTCACAGATCTACACACTATTATCAGCCTCAACTCCTTATTCATTTCAGTTTCACTGAAAGACTACCAAAAAAGTTTTCTATAGTCCTGCTTCAGTCTTACACACTTCAAACTCCTCATACTTAAAGACTCAACAAGAACATCCTGATATTTACAGGCTGCACAGTCTTGCAATACGAAGTTAGAAAACTTAAATGTTACATGCTAAGTTTAACAAAATTCCCAACTGCCATAACTCCTAGGACGATCATTTGACTTTTAAAAAACAAATCAGAAGACATTTCCTGCAGAAAAGTACTGAATTTACTGGTACACAGCAGAAGTCAGTGTATTTGAAAAGCCAGGTCAACATTGGGTAATACTCGCCCTTTCTCTTGGGGGAAGAAAATATGTTCTTTATTTTACTGAACTAAATCACTGTCAAGAGCAGATGTTCTTGCTGAATCCATTAACTAGCTAAGGCTGCCTCTTAAATTTGATTTTATTAAGAAAAAGATGAGTTTATAACTTCCTTGTTATACTTCCTTCCCTGTACACTGCATACTTAAAGAAAAATTTGTACATGGTAAAAGCTAGTCAAATGGATGTCTGAATTCACTGAAATACAGTGAAGCAACTTTTTCTTTCTTCACAACAATAGATGCACGATTACAAATATGAGCGAACACAAGCATTTAAAATGTTTGACTACAATACACCTCCTCTCAATAGCAAGTACATCTGAATTTGATGCAAAGGCAACATTCAGTCACAAATCATCGTTCTGTCCAACACACCACAAAGAAAGTCAAGTCTTAAGCAGAATGAATGCCTGCGGTACCACTGTGATAGAAAATTCAAATTCACACCATGCACCACATTATGTCTATTCATTTTAGATACATCAGTTCTTAAATACATCTAGCTAGCTTAAATAAATTCTACAAATCCTCCCACAACTTGCAGTTGAATTAAGATGGTACGATGTAGTAGACCTGGAAGCACCATTTTTTATTTAAATTGAATTAGTCGGCTATAATTGAGAACTGCCCAACTATAAAGCTACACTGTCTGTCTGGGAGGAACCGGCTTTCAATTGGAGATAACTGTTAGACAAATTGCATCCACTGCTGGCGATGTGTCAGCACTCAAGTTTCCAGATAGCTGAGGTCAAGGTACACAGCGCATCGAAAGTCGCCTACCTGGCAAAAGCAGACTGCACACAACGCCCTGAGAAACCACCCCTTATCAAGTAACTCCAGATCCCACTTGGCTGCACGCTCACCGATCGATGCACACCTGGGCACCTGCATCTGACACTGCTCCGGTCACCAAAAACCACACTGTAGCTATGCTTAAGGCAGACAGGCAGTTGCTACTGACGACAGGGAGGATTTTGTTCTCTAAGGTTGGAAGAGACTAACTTGCAAGAACTCCAGCAAGATATTTTATCTGCTTGCTCGTTTAAAATAGGTTGAAAAAGTGACTTTCCAAAACAAGATCATTATTTCGGATGAAACTTGCAACTGGCTTAGTAGCCACAGCACCTTCTGCCAGTGAAGGCTAGGCTCAGTCGCTGCAGACAGTGAAGGCTCAGTGAGCGGCAGAAGCTGCTGTAGCTGAGTGACTCTGCTAGTGTAATAACTTTTACACAAAACTTTTTGCCTCCAGAGATACCCGGTAAGGGCAAAGTTTTCTTCCTTTCTCCTGACCTACAGTGCAGCACTCCTGTATAACACAGTCCAACCAGATCCCTATCTGGCAAAGGACGGGTCTGTTTAAAGGCTGCCTGCTTAAGTTCATATTGGCTCCTCAAAAAAAAAAAACTCCAGTCCCGTTTAAACGCATTGGCACGTAGCCACACCACAGAGGGGAAATAAGTAAACAACTGATTCCGAGCTCTGTGAGCATCTAGCTGCAGGGACTGGCAACAAATAATGCACATTACGTGACATGTATGAGACTGTCAGGATTACACAGTTTATTTTAAAAGTGTTTAGAAGCAAAGCTGACTGAAAAGATTTTGTTTTAGATTTATTTAACACGCAGGACATTCAGACTACGTGCCAGAAAGGGTGCTCTAACACAGCCTTTTGCTATGTTCCGTGTTAGTTTTTAAAGCAACATTATTCAAAGTTAGCTTTATTTGTCCACAGAATATCCCGAGGTGGATGGGACCCACAAGGGCCATTGAGTCCAACTCCTGGCTCCACACAGGACCACCCAAAACCCAGCCCCTGTGTCTGAGAGCGGTGTCCAAACGCTGCTTTGAGCTCTGTCAGGCTCAGTGCTGTGCCCCCCGCCCCGGGCAGCCTGTCCCAGTGCCCAGCCACCCTCTGGGTGCAGAACCTGTCCCTAACCCCCAGCCTGACCCTGCACGGGACGGGACGAGCAGCGCCGGGAGCCGCCAGCCCCACGGCCGGTCCCGCCTCAGCGCTGAGGCGAGCCCGCGGGCGACCGTTGGGGGACCGTTGGGGGACCGTTGGGGCCCGCAGCCCCCCGCCCAGCCTCGCTACCTCCTTGTCGGGCACCCAGGGCGGCTCGTCGAGGCCGAAGGGGCTGCGTGCGGCGCGCAGCTCGGGCACCATGCGCAGCCCGCTGGCGGAGCGCACCAGCTTCTTGGCATCCGCCGCCTCGCTGCCCGACATCTTCTGACCGCCCCCCCCCCGCGGCTCCGCCACCGCTACTCGCCCCCTCGGACTGGCAGCGCCGCCGGCCAATGGGAGCTCCGGGAACGCGGGACGAGCGCGGCGCGGAGCCAATAAGGAAGGGAGGTTGGGAATGCCCGCCCACCCGCCGCGGGCGGCCAATAGAGGCCGCCGCCGCACTTCGGCGGCCAATCGCGTGTCGCTCGAGGGGTGGGGATGGAGCGGGGTTCCTTGCACGCCCCTGTGGGAACGCGAGGCGCATGCGCAGAAGGAAGGGCCGGGCTCGCAACCCGGAAATGAAGGGCGGGCACGCTTCGGCCGCTCCCCCGCCTTCCGCGCTCGAGGTAAGCGCGGCAGCCAATCAGCGCGCGGGACGGGCGGGGTGGGTTCGGCTCCGTTCGGCTCCGTTCGACAGGGCTCGGCAGGGCTCGGCTCGCTCTCCCCCGCCGCTCCCCTCCCAGCCCGGCCGCAGAGCCCCGCCCCGCGCCCCGCCCTCCCCCTGAGCCGCGCCCCGCCATTGGCTGCGCCGGGCGGAGAGGAGCTCGGTCAGCCTGGTAACAGGTGACGCTGCGGGCGGGCCGCTTGCCTATTGGCTGCGGCTGCTGTGAGGGGGCGGCTGGGGGTGGGCTGAGGTGGCCCTGAGGGCGCTGAGGTGGTTGGGAGGGGGGGGCGGCCATTTGCAGGGGGCTGTGAGGGGTTAAGGGCGGGTTTGAGGTAAAGAGTTAAAGAATTAAAGCCCTTAACGGCGCCTGAGAGGGCTGCTGTTCGAAGTTGTGGGAAATAATTGATAAATAAAGAAGAAATAAAAATAAATACAAGAAATAATATAAATAAATAAATAAAAAAGAACGTTCCTACAAAACGTCACGTTGAATCACACTTACTGCATAAAGATCTGACTAAAAAAATAATAAAAATAATGTAACTAACCGCCTGAATACATTAACCTGAATGTAAGGAATACAGTTAATTAACCCCCTGACGCTGTGTGCCCCCAGCGCTGTGGCAGGAGATGGACTGGGAGCAGCTGGAGCTGAACCCCAGGGTGGTCGCAGCCCTGAGGAAAGGTAACGGCCGGCCCCTGCCCGCTCTGTGGCAAACTCTTTCTTGTGTGCATGACTATAAAGCAATGGAAAGTATTTATAAACATTCCTCTAATTTCAGCTGACATAAAATCAATAAAAGAAGTTTTAAATCTTTCCGGAGCAGACTTGCAAAGACTGATGAAACTGTCCAGTGCAGATGCAGAGTGTCTGCTGAAAACCGTCTCTCACTCGCTGAGGAGAAATTGCATGCTTACAGGTAATACAATCAATACAAAAAATGTTCTTAAAATACTGTCACTGGGAGAAGATACGGTTTTGGTTCCTCACTGATGCAATGATATGATTCTGAAAATGAAACGTGTTTTAGTTATGCTATAGTGGTTTAATTACCCTAAGGGGTACGTCTGTGAGACCCTGAAGATAGATGGAATTGTGTCAGTCATTCTTTGGGATCATGCCAGTTTAAAACAGGACAAAATAATTCTCTAGTCTGGAAAGCTTGGTTATAGGAACACAAGATTTTCTTTTTCTCTCCTTCTTTTTCACTATTTTCCTTTGGTGCTAAGACTCGTTAAAAAGCTTATATGACATCTTATAAACTACATTTATAAGTAGATTGATAAGTGCTTTGATAAATAGATTTGATAAGTGCTTCCTGGCTGCACTGTACTTAGAATCTATATTCTTGCAATCAAGGTGTATCTTTTTGCCTTGGCCAGATGCTCTCTACACTGTTTCATGGCCTGCTATAGCTTTCTCTTTCCATAGTTGCTCTGCCTGAACCTTGCTGGAATTTCCTGGATTTTCCTGGAATATAGTTTTTCAGAGACACTCCTTTGAGACAGAGAAAGGAAAAAAGTTATAGGGGAGAAAAGGGCTTGATGTAAAAGTCCAGTTTTTGAAGAGGTATTTCATTAGTAGGTTTTGCTGGGGAGCCCAGGCTGAATTAGAAAATTTGTCAACAAAGCATCCCTTGTAGATACAAACCTGGCATACAGTGTCAGCATCTATCTATATTGTATCATTGTGAGTTAGAAAGATACTAAATAAAATTTTCTTTTCTTTCTTTCTTTATTGTTTAAATCCTTGAAAAACTCTGCAGCACTTCAGCTCTACCAAGATAAAGATCATTTTGCCTCCCAACACCAGAAACTAAGCCTGGGATGTTCAGTACTAGATAACTTGTTAAAAGGTGGCATCCCTTTAGTGGGAATCACAGAACTTGCTGGAGAAAGTTCTGCTGGGAAGACTCAAATTAGTTTGCAGCTATGCCTTTGTGTGCAGTACCCTTACAAATACGGTGGATTAGAGTCTGGTAAGTACTAAAATGTAAATATTGATTAATTTGCCATTTGGAGGAAAATACTGTCTTTAAGAATGCCACCTGTGTATTGAGGTAAATGTGCATATTCAGTGAGTGCCTTCTCCTTCTGCCATAGCATTAGTTGTAAGCTGCTTAGTAATGCAGCATTACAGAGAGAAAAGCATGCAGTGCACACGCCCTGCATCACGACGTAATTTAATACAGAATTACTGTTTGTAGTTTATCTACATGCCACTGCGGGTAGAACTAAACACACATGCAGACAACTTAAGAAAAGTGTCACTGTCGTAAGTACTTATTGACTCCTCAGGTAACAACCACAGCGAAGCAGCCTGTCAGATAATTTTCCACAAACATCTCAGGTATATAGAGCATACATTCCTTAGCCAACAGTTTCAAATTCGGGAAAATACTTAATCTGATAACAGTAATTAAAGTGTTTAACAGAGTAAAACTGATGGAAACCTAGTTGAAGAAAGTATTATTTGTAGCTGCCATTTTCCTATTTTGGCAAAAGTAAGTAGGTGTTTTTTTAATTATTTTTTTAACCATCTGTATTACATTGATCTAATTCATAGTATTTTTTTTAGTCTTAGAAATGGGGAGATCTGTGTGAGAATTCACTGTCCTGCCTTAGGTGGGTTTTAGCAGTGATCTTGCTCATCCTTCCATGCAGCACTGGGTTTAATTTGGCAGTTCTGTCGTTGGTTTTGAGGAAACTTAATTATTTCTTGTAATGTATTCACCCACATGGAAAAATCATGGAATGTTCAAATCATATTGCTTAAAGAGCAGAAATTAGCCTTTGGCTTATGTTAGTTTGCTTTAAGTTAATTAATCAGAACATAAGCAAACATATTCTGTTCAATTCCATCCTGTGTTGCTGTTAACTGCTGCAGATAGTATGGGTGCAAACAGATTTTTATTTATGCCCCAGGACTTCTCCCTTTTTACGTTGAAAGAAAGGAACAGGCTAAACGGAGTACAGAAAAAGGTGGCACTCTAGTGTCAAGACTGTTCCTCGCAGGGCTATTAAATGGCAAATCCTTCATTATTTGTGTTTGAAGTTGGCTGATTTTTCTTGTGCATTTGGTGCTGTTATGATTGCTTTGTTGTGTTTGTGTTCCCATCTGCTTGCTCTTAAATATTTCGTGGCTGTCAAAGGTCCAGTGAGAGAACCAAAGTATTTTGGAAGAGCTGACAAAAGTTTTGAGTGTATCAATTAAACTCTAGTATTTGTGCATTAAGAAAATCTAGAATAAAGGTACTAAATGTGACCTATTCTTTTTTTGTATATATACTTTCCTAAGTAGGAGCTGCAGCATAGCAGATCATCGTCATAGTACATCAGAGCAGATCTGTTTGAACATTCAATTTAAGATTCTCAAACGCAATCGCAGTATGACTATTAATTTATTGGATTTATTGAACTCTTTTGTGAAATCAGAATTCTTCAAAGAGAAGGAAAAAGATACTGAGTTAAAAGGTGTCGCACAGAACTCTGTGGTGGGTTGAAGATTCTTAAGAACACTGTAATGTGGGCACTTCTCAATTAAATTAGAGCCTTTTAGTTTGTGTTTCAGTATGGTCAGAAAGTAATTACAACTTGGAGAACCCAGGGTTTCATCTAATTTTCCGAAGTTGTAATTTGGTAGAAGGTAATTACTCTTGTCGGGCTTTTAGATTCTAAACAGCAGCAGCAAAATGTGAAGTGCTCTCTTCAGGCTTTGTAGTTTTTTAAAGATTTTTTCAAGTTCAACTGAGACAAATTCGATATGGCTTGTTGAGAATTGCCAAATTTTGGAGGTGGGCAAGGTACAGAAGGCAGAAATATCCAGTTGCAGGGGTTGGAGTGCTAGAGCAGTGGTATCCTAATTCTTGCAGTTTTTCACTTAGTGTTGTATCTTGCCATATCTTAGACTGTGAGGTCTTAGAAGAAGATGCTGTTTGCACAGCACTTAGAGAACAAAACCTCAATTTCTCTGCAGTGTATAACTGTGGAATGTGGTGGGCTTCTTATGTGGAATACAGGAACTGAAAGGTTATGTTAAAGTATGGGGCAGGTTTATTCTGTAGGAAATCTGAGGATGAAAAAAAATGTTTATTAACCATCAGAGAGGTTTGGCTCTACTTATGGGATATTTAACTTGGTGCTAAAACTTGGCTAATCATTTGAAATTGTTTGCGTTTTTGGTGGTGGTTGATTGTTTTTTGTGTGTATGTTTGTGGTGGTGTTTTTTTTTTTAGTACTAGAAACTTTCCTTCTCTTAGCTGGAAACGTTGAAATACATTCCTTTAGACAGTACGGATTTGCCGTGCATTTCCTACCTTTGACTTGGTGCTAATCTTGTTTACAATTCTCAGCTCTAGAAGGCTGGCAGTAAACCATGGAATGAGGACATCCTTTGCCTCCAGGCCATCTTTCTGCCGGTCTAAGAATGTCAGTTATGGTCTATTGCATATTGGCTGAATTTATTTAATATGTCCATATTCATGAGCAATGCATGAATATAATGTGACGTGCATACCTATATTAGAATTCTGGATTGGGAAAAAAAAGTTTGCTGCTGATTCATCTTAACAAAGCTGGTTTGTGGCATGGCAGATTATGCTCACAGGACTGAAAATCCTTCCATTATCTGATGATCACTTGCAATTTTTTGTGGTGGGATTTTTTGTGCTTTTTGTTTGCTTGTTTTGGGATGTAGTTTTTTTGATTGTTTTGTTTTTTGGCCAACAATAAGTATAACACTTTTATCTGCCTAAATACTAGTAAAGCACTAAGATCTGATAAAATAGCTAGTTTCTGTCCATTTGTTGTGGAACCATAAAAAAGATGCTTCTATGGTCACCGAGGATGACTGATTTCTTAAGTATCTCCCAGCTTCCTCCTCAAAAGTGATAAATATGACTCCTGAGTTGCTGTTAGTGTTGACAGCTTCCTAATAAGCTGTAAATAGCATGCTGCCATGGGCCTTTCTGTTTGTGTTGTGCTAGTCTCCTCATTTATTTAGGTTATGACAATTCACTTATCATTAAACATTTGTGAATATTATTAAGTGCTTTGGAGACATGAGTAGGCATCACTCCTTAACATCGTGTTTAATTATTTTAGTTACTTGTCAGTGTCTTCTAGCCCTTGTTACACTGATGTGAAGCACCTCCTGTATTTCTAATTTACTGGTGTATATTTTTGGTAATCAACTGTTTCATTGTGTCACAAATGTGAAGCTGAAGAGCCTTGATAAAGGTCCAGCAGGAAAGAGAGCTGCTTCCATTTTATTGTGAAACTCTACTTTGAAGCCAAGACAAAGTTCAGCTTATATATTTTGTGTCTTAATTCTCTTAAAGTTCAAGATGAAAATTACATTATTGCTTTCTGAAATGAGCAAATTTCAGGAAAACGGACAAGGTTGTCCCTGTGTATATTTTGGAGAAATCACAAGTGGACCAGTTTTGTTCTCAGAATATAGTATCTGCAGTAGTAAATTTAAGTGATGTCAGAGAAGTGTTGCTGCAGAGTAGAAGTTTAGCAGGTGACAGAAGTAAAGCTGTTCTTAAAAAGAAATAATCATCTTGATCTTTTTTAAAAGTGCTTAATTAAAAAAAAAAATGTGCTCACCTGATTTTAAAGTTAATGCTGTGATTTTAAGAAGAGGACGGAGTGTATCTATTGACCAGGAATTTTAAATCTAGGTTGCTGGACCAGTGGAGCAGAGGGGACCAGATACTTGCTTCTCCAGCTGTTCTTTTTTGCTTCCAGGTATTATGGCAGTAGGATTACCTTGCTTGCCTTGATTTAATTCTTAATCATATACGAATGTGAAACTGGGATACAGCTGTGCATGTGTTTGTAATACAGTAGGATTGGTTGGATGGTTTTATATTTTGCTTTTACCTTACATTTATTTCTGTCACTGTTCTTATTACTGTACGGAAATCACTTGCAAAGGTCTTCAGCAGAATCGCACATTTCTTTGTCTTCAGATGAGTTAATTTTAGAAAAATGTATTTTTTCAGTAAGTTTCTTGTTTAGAGTCTCTGAATGTTGCAATAACTGGGTTGAAATATTGTTATTTAAACAACAGAGCATTGATCTATGTAGAAATACAAGCCTGCATTTGAAAAAAACATGAAGTCTGAAGTGACAAACATTCCTTCTTTTTGAAGTAAACAGAAGAGAGCACAGAGGATGTAATGCTTAAGGCAGATCTGATTTTTAAAAGGCAGATGTTCTCAGTGTAAGCCATTATTTGTGGTAAAGAAATCACTGTATTTCAGAATCAGGCAGTGTTGTGCTAAAGGTAATCAGCTGTGAATAAGAAAGGAGAAGTCCAGAATGTTTTACTTCGCAAACTCTTTTAGCCTTAAGATATCTCAGCACAAGTTAGCACAGCTTTTGTTAGCATGAAATTCAGAACCACACATGCTTAAAGCAGCTGCATATCTCGGAGGGTTTTTGCTATTTTTGTTTGTTTGCTGGTTTTGAATTTGCACCTTAATAATTTCCAGTTTTGTAACTTAAATGTTGCAAGCCATAATTGGCCTATTTGAGCAACCACTGATGTTGGATACACATAATGCCAAATTTGTGATTACAAGTTTGTTGCTTTTTTTTTTTTTACTTGCTAGCTTTTTAGAAATGGTAAAACTGAAAGTCTGGTTTGGAGTACAGGAAATGCAGTGATTTATGCAAGAATTTATGGAAGGGTTGAGGAATATTGAGCTGAAGAAGGAAGTTTAGTCCTAAAGAAAATTAGCCTTATGCTCATCTTTGCCTAATATCAAGGATTTTTAGAAATCAATATCCACTGTTATGCAGGCGTCCACCAGCAAAATATTTTTTTGATATTGTAACCATTAATTTTTCCTTGGTCCAGTCCTGAGCTCATCCTGTTTCTTAAAAAAGACTTAATCTTTAGGCATAACTATAATTTTCAGCTGTTTTCAGGTAGTTCTGGCTATTTCTGCAATAATTACAATAATTTTATTAAGAAAATATTACACATTTATTTTCTTGCCCCATCATATTTGATGCATATGCTTAATTTTCTCTGCAATAATGCATCCTTGTTAACCAGAAACCACAGTAAAAATACATAGACATCAGTCATGGTAATGTTATTGAAATTTAATGTTTTTCTTATCTAGCGTACCATTTTTAAGAAGAGTTAGTTGGAATGAGTTTGGGTGAGTAATCCTCTTTAAAATGGTTAACAAACTATGGCAGTAAGTGCCCCTTCATAAATACATTTGACACCAAGAAAGTTCAAAAGAATGAATGAAAGTAAGCAGAACACTGGTCTAAGGCAGGCCATGCAGTATGACTCCATTTGTGGGTTGGATAAATTATGGTGCTCCTCATCACCCGAGTTAGGGAGGCAGGCATTCGGCAGCTGTGCAAAAAGTGTCACCTAGTGGATTACTGCAGAGTACAAAAGTGCAGTTGTATCAGCAGGCACCAAAAAAGCACCTGGCAACCACTTTTGAGTGTATAATTCATTATTTTATTTTTGTGCTGTTGGGAAAGCTGTCTGTGTAAGAGCCCTGATGTGATAACAGAGGTTGTTTCCTTCATTATAGGGGCTGTCTATGTTTGTACAGAAGATGCATTCCCAAGTAAACGTTTGCAGCAACTCATAGATCAACAGCATAAGCTGCGTGCAGATGTTCCACCTGAAGTCATACAGAAGATCAGATTTGGAAACAACATCTTCGTCGAGCATGCAGCAGACCTAGTAAGTAGGAGCACAGATTGCAAATACATGATTATAATGCTACAGTCCAGTAACCACAAGAGTTTTTTGAAGCATGAGACCTTTCAAAAGGCTACAAGTGAACTAAGATCTATAACAAATAATTCTTAACCTCTGCAGTTAATGTTAAAGAACTATTAAAATGTTTTATTGTGAAATATATTTAAAAATAACTATTAATATTTCTTATAATGTGGTTGGTTTTCACAAGGTATGTTTATTAAAATGTGGTAAAGTTTGTTGTGGTTTAACCCTGGCAAGCAATTAAGTACCATGCAGCTGCTCTTCCCCTGCTTTATGGGGGAAAAGGGCAAAAGTTAGAAAACTCATGGGATGAGATAAAGGCAGTTTAATTATATATATATAATATATATATATATTTTTAAGATATAAAGAAGTGATGGAACATCCCTTTGGCCAGTTTGGGTCAGGTGTCCTGACTCTGTGCTCCTTTGCTTCTTGTGCATCCCTGGCTCCCTCGCTGGCAGGGCAGCGTGAGAAGTAGAAAAGTCCTTGACTCTGTAAGCACTGTTTGGCAGCAACCAAAACACTGGTGTGTTATCACCACTTTTTCATCATAATTCCAAAACATAGCAACATATGAGCCTCTACAAAGAGGTTAATTTATATGAGCAAAGAGGTTAATTTAAATAATATGAGCCTCTACAAAGAGAATTAATTTCATTGCAGCTCCTGGAGAGATCATCGCTGAGTTTGGAGGCACCATATAAAAAAATAAGCAAAAGGTGTTGTGTGTTCTGAGTAACTTGTAATATAACACCAGAATCAGTAAAAATGAAAAGTAAACAGGTGGAAGGGAAGAATGCAAAAAATGATGCCTGCAATAAGTAGTGGCACAGCATAACTGCAGTGCAGCTGTCTTGCCCTTCTCTCCCTGGTAGGCATCTGTACTGGGTCTGGCCCACGACATCCCAGTAAACTTGGAAGGAAAATGTTCTGCATTCCTGCCATGTAGAAGCCACGTTCAAGTGCTGCTTCTTTTCCTAAGTGGCCATGAATACATGTATGCCATTTATTGACAAACCATTGAAAGTTCTGTTTTCTGTAAGGCTTAAAGTAGCACGTGTTAAAACATTGCAGTTGCTGGAGTTTTTTCTTAATAGTTTGTAAATGAAGAAGGTACTGTACGTTGCTGTAATATACTTGCCACTTTCACTGCTGGGCAGAAGCTAAGCAACCTTTGCTGTGTACCTTTCATTGGAAACATTAATTAAGGCTCTTATTGTAATTTCTGAAAGCTGTAGAGTACATTATTGTTAAAAGGAGAGACTCATCCTACAGTAGTACACAGATCTCTCTGAAAAGTAAAGCACTGCACTCACTGCTAATTAAAGCAACTTTCCAATAGATTATTATAGTTCATCTATTGCTATGCAGAGATTCTGTTTGTGTGTTTGTGTGCATCAGTATACATAAAGTATACATTGTACCCCACAGAATATTTCCTAGTTAAACTTCCTGCAACTTAAATGCTTGGTGACTTCAAAATATTCAATTAATGAAAGTTTTTAATAAAAAGGGATGATACAGGTCACAGATACTCATATTAATAAAACTCTTAATCAATATGGATTTGATGTAGCAGCTGCATTTTTCACTGTCAATGTCACTAGTGGAACAGCAGCATAGTCTCTAACTTCTGTTTTGAATATTTAATGCTAGTCTGGAGTTCTCAGTGAGAACCATGCTGCAAAACAGGAATTGTTCAGGATTGTATTATTGCGTTCTTGAGATGTGCATACTTTAAATCAGAGCTGCAAATAACTGCAGTACATTATGCATGCACAGATAGTCTCTGTTGTTTTATTACAGAAAATTGTGTCTGTAAAAATAATTACTAGCGAGACTTGAAGATCAACGAACTCATTTTATGATGAGAACCTTCATCAGCTTGCATTTCAGTAATGAGATCTGTAGCTACAGAGTAGAGATATTGGAACCTTTTTAATGCCTTTTGTGTTTTGGGGTAGGACACCTTCCACAACTGCATTACTAAAAGGATTTCCCTGCTGCTCAAACGAGGCATGGTGCGGTTGGTGGTCATAGACTCTATTGCTGCGCTATTTCGATGTGAGTTTGGAGCTTCGGATTCTGTTTTGAAGGCTCGATATTTGCAGATGTTCGGAGCACAGCTTCACAGTTTAAGCACGCGATTCAGCACTCCGGTTGTGTGCATTAATCAGGTATGGCATCAGAATTGCTTCTCGTTGTATGGGGACTATTTCATCAGTTGCTGTGTGCGTGTGTGTAAATCTGTGTTGGTTAGATTTCTTGTTATTGTGTTTAACAGTCAGGTGAGTCTTAATAACTGATCAAAACTTTGTTTTCTGTAAATAGATGTACTTCAAAGTAGTAATTTTTAACTTTTTCAAAAGTTAGGAATATTAAGCTTTTATAGACCATTAATTCTCTCAAAGGAGACTTCCATTAAAGCTAACAAAAATGGGTAGGTACAGCAACTGTGCAAGGCACCCAGCTGAACTAACAGAATTCTTTTGTGTGCTGGCTTCAAGTGCTGTCATCCCGTAGCTTGCTGTTGGAGCTCTGCAAGCACAGTTATATGTATCAAGGGGAGGGTAAAATGCCAGGGACTTTGCTGCAGTTTTGTATAGCTCAGTGGTTCTGTGTAACTGCAGAGATTACTAAAACATCAGAACGCAAGCAAGCTGACTTGAACCAAAAAAAGATACAGCCTCAAATTTCTTAGTGTTTAGCATCCAAACCAGCTGTAACTCACATGCTAAGCAGTGTGGGGAAACTGGCTTTTTATACAATTATAAAAAAACACAACACAACTGAACATAGAGTCTAGCTATAAAAGAAAACCTCATGGATAAGGCATAAAAATCTTATGGCCTTATATATATAAAAATATATATATAAAAATCATAAAAATCTAAAAGTGTCTGGACTCTATTTTAGAGTACACAGAATATGATTCAATAGGTCAAGTCTGTAGTTACAGAAATAAACTGACTACAACATTGAGGAGGAGTTGTAATGTAATCATTTCTGTACGTTATATACAGAAAATAAGTACCTGTAGCTTAATTTGCTGTGTTTTCTGAGGAACTTATGCTGAAGAATCGTGACACTACAAGACATCATAAGGAATCAAGAGGTGTGGATTTTGTCACTAAGTTGTGGTCAAAAGCAAACTGCTCCATTAGGCAAGGACAGATTTTTGTACTTTTTTTTAATAAATTAAAAAAATATATTTTTAATAAATTAAAAATAAAAAATAAATTAAAAAATATTTTTAATAAATTAAAAAATATATCAGTAGTTAAACTAACATAAGCTGTAGCTCGCATAACTCTCTTCTAGCGTGCCTTGGAAGAGTAAGGGTTCTTCTAACTTGTCGTAATACGTGATCTGTAAACCAATAAGTTGACTTAATAACCAATAAGTTGACTTAATGATACTAAATCATATCAGTATTGTTGATTAATATGTTGAATTTTGATGGCGTTGTTCCCTGCCCTGCTGATTGCTAAAAATCAAACATGTACCTACAGGTCAGCCTCAAATGCTGTTGTTTTGCTCTAGGTGACCGACGCAGTGGGTGAGTCGGAAGCTGCTCAGTGTGGCTGTAGGTAAGTCATCTGCAGGGGAATGTAACAATGCCATACAGGGCAGCATTTAACCACTGTATGTTCCTGTAACTCCAGTACCAACTACCAGTGCATGTTAAGAGCAGCGGTGCATTTATTTACCCAGCAGTGCTGTGTTTCCTAGAGATCAGTAATAGCTGCTGTGCCCTACAGTGGAAGAAACCACCATAAACAGTGATGTGGTAATCCCTAATCAGCAAGTTAAAGGATGGATTCCCCGGAGTTAATGGCTGGTGTACTTGCTAGCACGAGATGATTTTTGCATCTCTTTATTGATATAATCAAGTGCATTTTCTGTTTTCTCTGAAAAACACAGCAAGCAAACCTTACGGGTTGTTTTTGTTGCTTAAGGAAGAAAATTACGACTATCTTTTGACACCAGGATATTAATGAGATTCAAACATACATATTTATTGTTTGAATCCTAATGGTAAACTTCATTTATAGATAAGCTAGGAGCTACATAAATGTGTTTTTGTGAGGAGTTAATTATGTCCTCCAGATTGAGGAGCTGACACAGAGCAAGAATAAGGCTGCATTTTTCCCTGGTTATCTTGAAATACTGTAATAATATCTTTACTGGAGAGGTTACAATTTTTCCAGGAAAAAGAAAAAATCTGTTTTAAGCTTTGTTGAAAGTAGTACATGAAAGTAGTGCTGTATCTACCAATGTTTCTAAATGTAAATTTTAATGGAATTCAGGGGCAACAATTCCATAACTCAAATACTTAAATTCAGACATTTTCCTGATGTTATTTTCATGTCACAAGAGAGAATCCATCAAAGGCAAGTATACGTGGCTGTAGTTGGAAGAGTGACTGAATTATTCTGTATAAAGGCACTTCCAACTATCACCTTGTTACAGAGACCCTGGTGTATGGCACTGTGAGTACACCCTGTGAGCTCCATCTTCAGACATACAGCTTGAAATGTAGCAAACAGTCGATGGCTTCTGTTGTAGCAAAATTACATTAGAAGAACCAAAGATATCCCCTATTAAATTCATACATGCAAAACTCTGTAATGCTTTCTTTATAGTTCAGTGGATAACAAAGTCACTCCAGCACTTGGAATAACCTGGGCAAATCACCTGCTAATGAGACTGATGGTCAGCCGAGTATCACAACGTGACCAGTTGTCTGGAGCTGTGTTTCACCACACTGGAAACGTGAGGACTTTAAGAGTGGCTTTTGCTCCTCATCTACCTCCATCCTTTTGCTGCTATACAGTAGAATTGGAAGGTGTGAAAGGAATAAAGTAAGTCCTTTGCATATTAAAACATGCTGCTCCAAAAGTGTATCGAAACTGCTTTGCTTCAGGAAGGATCATTAATAAGATGCAATTCTTCCTCGGTGGGGGAATGGATGCTGAACTCCATGAGAGGTGATACGACAACACATTATGCGTTTTTTACAGTATGAGAAGGTCTTTTTATATTTGGATATATTTACTGGTGTTTCTAGTCCTCATGCTGCCATTAAGCACACACAGCTGTTCTATCAGCAGAGTCTCAGAAACAACCATTATCACAAAGCAGCTATTCTTTTTTAGATTTCTTTTTTTAATCCTGATATTAAAAAGTACCAGAAAGTTACTTGATTTTAATGTCTTATTGCAAGAACTAAAATTGTACTGTTCTTGTACATATCTACCTTTGAGGAAATGTCTGCAGGTACTTTGGAAGTGGTTCTTTTCCACTCCATTCTCATTCGCTCCCCTCATAGCAGAAGCCTAGTTGACCTCTTCCACTTAAAAAATAAAAAGAAACTACACACCCAAATCCCCTTGTTCTATTTTCCCCATCTCAAACTGCATAGTAACCACACAGTCCCAGCTCTGTTCTTGTTCTTCCTCATTCCTTGCACTGCTCTGTTTTGTTGGATAGAGGGAGCATTCTTGATTATCTTCTGCATCTCTTCCTCCAGCTGTAGTATCTGTCTCTACTGCTTTTCTCAGAGGAGTTTGGTAGAGCCTTTCATGTTTTTCTTTGCATCTTTGTACTATTTATCATATCTTTTTTTCTGCTGGCCTCAAGCCTACTGCTATGATGGGTGCTTTTTCTGGTCATCACTGCATTCAGGGCCGAAGAAAGCCCAATTAGAGTCATCCACAATTTCCAGAGGCTTTAAACCTTACTCTGCCTATGTTATGTGGGTGTGAGCTGTGATCAGTGTTTGATGCCCACTTGTATCGTCCTTGTTAAGCTTTTAAACAGATCCCTTCCCCCCAACACCCCTCTCCTTGCTTCCCCAGGTCCCTAAACAGGAGCAGTGTCTGCCATGTTAGAGAGTCCTGGCTTTCTGTTGTTACATTTCTCAGTTCTGTCTTTAGGTAATTAGCACCTTTTGTTCTCCCTACTACACTCAAACCTTGGACCTGAACAAAGGAAACACAAAGCAAGTAGAATAATGCTGCTTTGCGTTCTTCTGACATCCCTGCAGTCACCTCAGGGGACCTTGTGCAATGATGTAGCAAGTTGGGTCTAAAGCCCTATTTAAAAAAAAAAAACCAAAAAAAAACTTCATTATGTGTATTTGGATGTGACCAGTCTCTATTTTTTTTAATAAAATCCAACCATGAAGATTTTAAGTCTTTGCGTAATCAATTTTAGGAAAAAACTGAGATCTTCTCAGTCTTCCAATCCTAATGTTCCATGCAGCATAGGTAACACTAAAATTCTCTTCCATTTCTCTTTACCTGGGACAGGGACTTTGACTGGTACAACACTTATCCTCTTGTAATTTTTTTTTTAAAGCCACACATGGATGTAGCTGATAAACAGGAATCAACCTACCCCTACCCAGTGAGCAGCAGGTTGATAGACGTTATATGATATTTTGATAACTTTATTTGCAACCTGACTGCCCACAGCAAGGAGATGTTAAATAACCACAGGTGCTGCTGTAATTTAAGTTCCAGTTTACTTAGAAGAACATGTTATCAAATGATTTAAATAACGTCTTACCTGACCCAATCTTCCTGTCATTGCCCATGTTGGTTCTCATCTGGCTCTCCAGCTGCAATTTTAACTCTGATTTAGCATATGGTGCAGTGAGGTTCCTAGCTCCCAGTCACAAACAAAACCCAAACCACTGAAATGTAACTGACCTCCAAGCTTACAGCATGTTCAGCTGCAGTTTCTACCCCTTTGTCAGTGTCACTTACTATCAGCCTCTGAAATCTAGAATGCTGTTCTTGCATCACTACAGCTCTGGGGTGCAAAGACTGGACAGCCCAAGTTGTCTGATGAAGTATCTGCCTTGTGTTAAGTGTCAAAACACACAAGTTTTAATAAATGCAATTTAAGAACCTTCCCTTTATACAGCTTTATTCATCTTTGGATTTCACAACTGAGATTTGTTTCTATACAGGAAAAATTGAACTAATTTTTTACAAAGAAGATTTACATTCTAGAAGTACACTCATCTTTACCCTGTAAGACTGTTTTCAAATATTTCAGTTTCTACACTTTGAAAAGAAATGTTAAATGACGTGAGAAATATTGAACAGCTTTGAATTAATCTACAGCTCTGTGATGTATTTAGAGAGACCTTTTTCAGAAGAAACATGGAGTTCCAGAAACAGATTTCTTTTGAAAAGTAGAATTAAAACAAAGTTAATTTGTGCTCTGCAAAGATAAATTTACACAACTGATGCATTAACAAAACACGTAGTAAAACACATTAAACAATCTCATCACAAGCTTCTTCGTGAAATCACAGTGAATTACTACTATTTGTTACAAATAACATTTGTTATGGGGTAAGACAAACAGGTGAACTCTGAAGTGGATTTCTTCCACAGCTGTAACAAATTGTAAGTACACATGGAGAGCAAAATGCAGCATCTTAAAGCCAATTTTAGCATGTTAAAGTTTTTAATCAAATATTAAATCCACAGATCTAAAAAACAAACAAAACCCCACTAATTTCCTCAAGAAAGATAAATTGACATTAAAAATAGTTACCTGGTTTTGTTGTGTTTTTGTTGTTTAAATCATGCCCTAGAAAACAAAATATCATTGCTGATTGCATAGAACTCATCTGGGTGGAATACCTTACAGTGTAGAGTATCACAGTATTACAGTGCTACATAATTAAACCTAAAAAACCCAATAACTTTCCATCCATGAACTGTGACTCGAGTGAATCTGATGAATATAGGGAGCCTAACCTAAGGATTGCTCCTTTTAAAACTACTTGACAGTGCTTATTCCGTGATGTATATAATTTTAATCTCTTACTTTATCATGTACCAGCACAGCCTTTAGAGCACCTTTGAGCTTTTTGATGTAGCTGAAGTACTAAATGAACTTCAATGATGGTTCTCTAAGCAGCTCTAACTAAACCACACAGTATAGGGAAGTTGAAAAACTTGTCTATAGGCATAAACTTTTTCTCAAAAAACTCAAGTCTTTCAAACTCCATTAGGTGGGGTAGCATTGGTTTTCATTTCTGGTTTACTGCTGTGAGCTTCCCCCTTCTTAAAAACAAAGAAAACACCACTGACCTTGGTTATTCAGTGTACAGAGACTACAGTGGATGGTTTGAAAAAAGAGAATCAAAGCTAAGTGTTCAAAATCTCCCTCAATTACAAACCACTAAAATAAAAAAAGGAAGAAGAGCCAATGCTTATATGAATATTTCTGTCTGTGACAACGTGAAGTTGCTACAAGGAAACTGTAGGCTTCACAGTATCACATCATTATTCTCTAAGTACAGGCAGACATTACCAAAATGCCATTCTCTTAGCAGCTTTCAGACAAAACACACGACCTATGGAACAAAACTAAACTAGCTTGAACTCCTCAAAGTACTACAAACACGCTTTTGATGAAGCACTGCACACATCTATTACTGTATATTTACAACAGAACCACACCATTTTCAAAATTACTGGATTCAAACAGTATGTTTTAAGTGCAACTTTCTCAATAAAACAAACAAACAAACAAAACAATTTTAATTTACCACCATTCAGGAAAGTTTTGGGGGGTTTGGTTTGTTTTAAGGAAAGATACAAACTCTAATGGGCCCCATTCTCCATTGTTCCTTCCAACTGCTCTCTGCTGTACTCCAAGCACAGACATGCCAGCAATAGCTAAGTTATTCCTCTCAAAGAGGAGCTAATCACCAACCAGTTACGTTTTACAATAACATTTAGCAAGATCAAAACTCAAGGACAAGTATTGCCAGTATTACTGAAGTGTGGTGCACAACCAGACAGATAAAGGGCAAGAGGCACCTGGGTACCAGTAACAATCTGCGTGTGATTCTTCCTACATGCAACTCGCCAACCGTACACCTCAGAACCAACCACTGTTAGCAGGAGAACCTAGAGGAACTGGCATAGTCTGAAGTTTTTGTAACCTTTTTACAAGTTCACCTTTACAATTCTGAACAAAGAAAACCAGACCAGATTAAGAACAAGCTGGTACTGCCAAGGCTGTGGTTTTCCTAACAAGATGTCTGTCAGTTCTAAAGATAAATTTTAATTTTCTGTTTCATCAGAGCTGTTGATTTAGTTTGTTACTGAAGACACCCATGAATTATGCAGTCAGGTTTTTTTAGTCTTGTATTTATGCACTGTTAGCTACAGCTGGAACAGAGGAAATTCAGAAAGAAAATCTTCATTAAAGGCAAAGTGAGAAGCCCACCTGAAATTGCACTGTACACAAGCCAAGTCATGACAGTAATTCATTTGTGATTGAACACAAGGAAAGTTGACCTTAAATTTGTTTTTGCACTTTACAAGTTTCTCTCAAACTGCAAACAGCACACTGGCTCTAAGCTATAAGGTTATTAGCAAGTTCTTGGCCATCATTCTTGGGGATTTATGGATTGGAGAATTCTTGAAATTTGGATTTCTTCACTGAAAAAAAAAATCTTTTAAATGTAGGAACTGTTTAATAAGCTGTAGCTCAACAATTCAGATTTATCTTCCAACACACTTTAAAATGTAAGGGTTTAAAACACTTAAAAGCACAGTACTGGTAATGCCACCAACAGTAAGGGCTATTTGAAATCCTAAATGAGAAAATCCACTCAGTATGGTCTTGCATTTTAGAAGCTTTTTAGAAAGCATACATTTAACCATCACCAGGGCTAAGTATTTTCTATAAGCATTTCTATTTAAACAAGTCTGCAAAAAATATCCTTTTAGGATGAATGTGTTTGAAAATTTTCAATATATTTTTTAAATCATTCCTTATTACCAAATTCAGTTGTGTCCAAGCAGCTTTTTTTTTTTTTTAAAGGAAAGTAAATCAGACTTAAACCTCTCCAAGTGAAGCATTTAACTCTACAGAACAGTGTTACGAGGCCCGCTGAGCCACTCCTATAGCAGCAGCATCGTGCTGCTGTGAACCAAGGTGACCGTAATACAGGGCTATGTGCACTCAGAGCTTCTCATGGTGCTGCCAAAGGGACAGGTGACACTGCTGCAGGCTGCCAGAGCAGTCAGCAGCTGTGGCGGTTCTGGTGTCTCCCCACACGGCCTGACAGCCTGGTCAAGGAACCATGTAGAAGGAACCATCTTTGGTTTCTTCTACAAAGCCAGCTCAGGCTTTGTGCAGAGAACCAAATTCACCAGTGGGTACGTGTAACACATTTTGCTTTAGGGGGAAAAAAGGTATATATATTATATATTTTTATATTAAGCTCTTTAATAAAAGATTAAAACTCGAGAGTCTACTTTATATGAGTATATACTGTTAAGATAACAGAGCAACAACATGTTTTTGCTCAAGATCACTAACGAGTCGCACTGCTCTGTGCTAAACTTCTACAAATTAGCAGCATTGTATCTCACTGTTTCTAAACTGTCTTTATAGCAGGTATACCATACGCAACTTTCTTCGAAGAGATGCTAATAAGGTACCTCCTGGTAAACATAGTCAAGTGCATTACATATACAACTTTTTGCACCAGTTACTGTAACAACTTAAACCAGATGCAAAACCAGTCAAATACTTGTAAAGAAGTACTAATTCTAACGACTCTTCACAGCCTGTTCAAACTCTAAAACCTGTTTCTCTCTTTCACTTGGTGCTAACCTAGAATGAATGTTCCAGCTTTTCCCAAAGTTAATTTTGTTCTGCATTTTCCAACTCACAACTATGACCACAAATACATTTTTACACTTGTTTTACTTTCTCATCCACTCCACGTGACTTTTTACAAAAGATGAACAAAATTACAAGCTTTACAGAAAAGCAAAAGGAAATACTAGTGTCTATAAAATACTTAAAACATACATACTTAGTTCCAGCAGCAGTCCTTTATACAGACAGCATATATATTAACCGTAAGTAGATTTAACATGGATGTGTGGTCAAACAAGTTGCTTGCTGCCGGTGGCCATCTAGTGCTTCCTCTGGGGCCCTTAGATTTGAGTGGTCCTTTGCACAGCAGCTACTCCACAGTGTAACAGCCCAGCCTGCAGTTGCCTGCTTCTGCTGTCATCAGCTATTACGGAGAAAGGATTTGGGATCAGCGTAAGGAAATGTTGGAGCACTTTCAACGTACAGAGAATGGGGCTGTGAATTCCAGTGGACAAGCGAGAAAGTCAACCTGAGGCTTGGCATTTCCCTAAGAGCAACAGCAGCTGCTCTGGGACAGCTGCAGTCCAGCACTTCAGTATCCTTCAGCCATACAAGATAAAGGTCAAAACGTTTTCCATTTGTTCTGATCAACGGGAGCTGACCTATCTCCATTGATTATTGTGCCCTAAGACCTACGTCAACAAGTATCAAAGTTATGGTCACAGGTATTGCTATTCATGCTATCTAGATATGATGTCACCCCAACCGTCTCTTTTGCAGAATTTAACAGCTCAGTATAGTGGTTAAGGAAGCCATGTCTAAGTGCCGTTTTGCCAGCTAAGGTTTTTAACATCAAAATAATCAGTGGTGCAAGAGAAATCCCCGCCAATGCAGTGTGCTCAATTTGAACTTACACGGTAATGCAAATAATTTATCCTTTTCCCCAGCACCGTATATATTTATTCCTATACATTTCATTTTGCCCACATTTTCAAACAATTTGCATTTTGGTATGCTTTAAATATGTTCATATTTTTACAATTTTTTGGCTGCTGTAATCCTCAGACCTATTAAAGAAAACATAAGTAGCATGAATGGGAGCAGTGCAATGAGCAATATACACCTATATAGTTTTCCTTTAGAAGAAAATACCCACTAATGCCGTGTTTTAAATTGTCCCTATTTAGAGAAGTAAAAACAGCAGTCCACTGAAAAAAAAAAAAAAACAAAAATAAAAATCTACAAACTAGGTGTTCCTATACATGATGAGGAACCAAAGCTTTGAAGGTCTCAGTGCTTCTTTATTCACAAAGTATTAGCTAGCTTCTGTCCAAGAATCTCAATGCGCCAAATCAGTATGACTGACACTCAGAGCTCTCGAGTCTGTCAGACAATTATTTCGTTCCTGTGTGAAGGGGGGGAAAAACAAAAAAAAAGAAATTATGCAGATGCCCAGATAGTTCAAGCAAATAAACAAAATTACTAACTTTAACAAATAGGAAGAAACAAATACAAGGAGCTAGAGAGAACCGGCCTTGTTTATGTTGTTTTGAGGGACTTCCTTATTCTAACAAACATCTTTTCCCCTGATTTTCAACTACAGTACTGAAACAGACCTACTGAGATCAATATACACCCTCTAAAACCCTAGCCCAAGTCTTACTCAAAGCATAAACACCCATCTGTGGGAACCACCACAAGCGTCCATAGCAAGTAAACTAGAGAAGTTCACAAGTCGATACCTGCTTTTAATACTGCATGTACACACAAAGATAAACAACTCATCTGGAATTACTCATCACTTACATACTAAGAACTCTAGGGCATGACATTATGAAACCTTCAACTGTTGCTACAAAGAATTATGCTTTACCCTGATGGATTTTTTATTCTTGTTTTGTCTAAAGTTCACTCTAAGCAAAGATTAGCATACGTTTCACACCACAGAAACCTCTGCAGTACATTCATTAGAGATAGTACTGTTAAACCTTTATGCCACTCCACAGCAAAATGAGAGTCACACATTTTGGGTTTATTTGCTGCTTTCGGACAAATAGTGAGGAAGATCCTCATGTACAGTTTCATTAGTACTGAAGAAGTCGTATCTCCCTAAAATTAGTTGCAGTTACTGTGTTAGTACAATGCACAACACTGTTTAGAACACGGAACACTGCTAGCATAAATGACAATATGGGAAACGCTGACTTATTAGGCAAAAACAAGAAATGGGAAGTAGCGATCGGGCACACCATACAGTTAGGCAAGATAAGCTTATTTTAGCTGAAGCAAAAACTTAGCAGGCGTGTTTTAGAGACTACTCCTCTACAACCTCAGCAACAACTGAAGTAACGTTTAAGGAAATCTGAAAACGTACAGCAGTTAAGGTGATGGGGCCCTTTTCAATAAAGATGCTTAAGAAAAAACACTTAGCAACTGAGCTTTACACGTTCTTGTTGTTTTTTATTTTTAAAGCAGTGTTTTCAAGGATGTAAGATTTTAGAAGTTTCATATCCATCTTAATAGTTAGACAGTCCAAAGCCAGAGACTGCTTGATATCACAAAAACTAATGGTCTTTACTAATCTGACTTAAGCACTTGCTTAAGATTAAGATTAATTCACGAAAGTGTTAAAGCATATGCTCAAGGCATCATTTAGTACACATCTTGATGATTTAGGATCTCGCCAATCACTGTTGTTTGATTATTTATCACACTTTTTTTTTTAATCCCAAACCCTACCAATACTATCTATTTTTGTAAGAATATCGTAGGGCTTCTTACTTGAAAATGATCTTCAGTAGCCTTGCCACCCATGTTAAGAACATTCAGAGAACTGGCACGCTTCATGCTGCAACCAGGACAGTGAACATGCAAGGATAAACCGATCAGAATAGCTGAAAACTAACAGCTCTAAAAACACACGTACAACAACGACCAATGCACAGTTAAAGGAGTTTTAACAATGCCCCCAAACTGATCGGAGGAATACCCCTTAAGATAATTATATGAATTAAAATATTTATTATATTCAGTTGTTAATTACATCTTAAACAAATTACAAGCTCCTCAGAGCTTAAACACTTCAGGCAATTGATTTAATTGCAACTAAAAATGAAATCTCCGTTTTTAAAGCACATCAAATTAATACACTGATTTAACATTAATTTTTAATTTGCTAATCCTCATTTTCCTTTTTGTGAAGCTTCTTATAAGAGCATCAAAACATTCCAACATTTTAGGCAAAAGTGGTGAAACAAATTTGTCACGTTGGCAGTATTTAACTTGGAAAAAGTAAAACAATCATTAGTTTAGTACTTTCTGCCTCGTCTATATAAATGTCCAAAATCTGTTATTTCAAAAAAATATTTTAGTATATTTTATCTTAAACATTTCAAGGTGAGGAGAAATAAGATGGTTGCTGCTTTAATCTTTGGTCGTGCTGGCTTTACAGTGCTTCGAGCAGTGGTAACAACAACCCTAGAATACTGTACTGAAGGCAGTGGATGAGGAAAAAAAATGTAATCACCTATACAGGAACTACTGACAGTCAAAATATCCCTGTATCTAAAATACCCCAGTAGTATCTACTGGTGTTTGAGGTAAGGATTAATAATTTATCTCCATTTCTAAAACATATATAACATCTATCAACAATATTTTAAAGTGTGTGTAATGAAATTCACATTTCTGTGAATTAGTCTGAAGTTTCAGATTCCAGTGACTACAACATCAAGGTCTGATGTCCTTAATCCCAAGGTATCTGTATTACTCAGAACGCCCTGGATTTGCCTTGATTTTTGACCAGCTCTTTAATGAGTTAAGAACTCCTCAATGAGAGCTTTTAATGTTCATTGGTGAACCATACACAACAAAACGAGGCGCGAAGCCTGCAGTGTTACCTACAGCTGTACCAGGTCCACACAAAGTTTCCGATTCCTTCCAACAACATGGAAAGGTTTATCCACACAGACCACGTTAGGCACTAACCAGTTTTTCTTTCTACTGAAGCAAGACGACTAACAGTCAAGGTCTAGCATGTGTTTTAAGTGTTTTCATAAAGCAAAGGCTTAGCAGAAAAACGAACCAAAACGCTAATGAACACAGGCAACAGCTGCTATGCAACACACGCCTTCTGTTTTGTTTTTTTTTCCTAGTAAGGAATTTGAATGTTTCAAAAGCCAGAATGCACACAATTTAAAATATTTGACATGAGTGTTAGCAACAACAAAGCAAAGACTCATGCATAGTATACACCTCTCATTTATTCAAGGAAACGTGTACAGCAGAGGTTATATATGGAAGTCAAAGTTAATTCGTAAAACACAGAACATCAAACTCTCATCAAAAAGAGCATAAAGGTTTATGGAAAACATTCCAGGGAAATAGAAAAATTTGTGTAAATTTTTATAAGTGGTTTTATGTCCTTGCTGAAGTGCTAATTAAAGTATTTATCACACCACTTGTGAGGTATGAGGTTTTTATTTTTAGAAATCAAAAACTTCAATCTTTAATTAAGAAATATTTAAGAATGTCAGTCTGGCAAATGCACTTACATTCCATGTTAGAAATTTGAACAATTAACAAGGACACTGAATTGTTTTTCTGCTGTATATGTAAGTGCAACAATGAAAGCTTTTTTTTTTTTTTCCCATTTTAAATTACAAATCTTAACTGTTCTGTTCTATGATAAAATTTTATAAGTGGAAAAATTCAAATCTAACACACTATAAGCAAAGTTAAATCACTGCAGAACTGAATTCTGAAATACGGTAAATAACCAAAGAACTGACACCATGCTTCTGCTATTGTATGTTTCAATGAACAGTTCTTAGGAAGTTTGTTTTTTCTTGAAGTAATGCAGAAGTCTTTTTGACACCAGATTTCCCTGGTAAGTTTTCCACTTTATTCTCTTCAACCTTCTGTGCCAAGCAGTAAGATGAAAATTAAGTCTTTTGTTCATGCTGTGATAATAATATATTTCTATTTGAGTATTTCTCATTTAGAATCAGACCATTTACTTATTACAGAAGCACAGTATAAGCATCATGTGTAAATAAATTTCAAAATAAAGCAGCCTTCATAGAGACACCAGCAGGGACTGCAGAGTATATCGCTAAGAAGGGAGCCATGTAAATCTACCTAAACTGGCTGAGTTGGTAGCAAAAATGACATCTATATATGCTATGGCAGTATTGTAATATTCAGCTCATAATTAAATATCAAAACATCTGCATTATAAAAACTTAAAAGCCCTTTTAGTAAACTCAAACAGAAAAAAATATATTTAATTCGATTTACTAAAGTTTCTTCAGAAAATTAAATTAGAATGCCTTCTTAGAGTATCAATATGTACAGCTATGCTTAATGATCTACAAAGCTGGTGTTTAATACCAGGAGTATTAGCTGTTTTTAATAAGAAATGCAAATATAAATTAGGATTTAAAAGGTTCTATATCTTACAAGAACAGAAAGGTAATATTTGTCAACACGCTCAATGTGCATACCTACATAAACGGCTGCCAATACAACACATTTATTACATGTTTTAAAAACAAACTATTCTTTGAGAATAACAGTAAAAACCAAGAAGATTTTGTCAAAAAGGGAATGCAAGAAAGATAATGCCATCTTTCCATATTTCTTTCATACCAATGTCTTTATTTGAGGAAATATCTGCTGATACAGACCACACAATGCAATTAACTTTATGTGGGTAGATTACTTTTATGTTGGTCAAATAACATTACAGAAATGCAGACAATAAAGAGGGAGAAGAGTTTTTACAGGACACTGCAAAGACAAATGTCTTCAAGTAGATGTAACTAATGTACTATATAAAATCATGTACTTACTTCAGCTGCAGAAAAAGCTAGCTGTCCTTACTACAATAAACAGGGAATAAAACTCTGACTTTTAAGAAACTGAAGACCCTTCCATGTCTCACAAAAAGGAGGAGCAAATGCAGAATTAAATCTGAATATAAGTATATATATCCCTACAAGGCTGTACCTGAACTGTGATGTATGAACTTTAGCCAGAACTGAGTAGAAACATAAAACCAAAGTATAGAAATACTAATACTGAAAGCAAGAAGAAAATTCCTTTGTTCTTTTCTGGCTTGCACTTGCATATTTTCTACAACTCCTCCTACATCTACATACTTCTTTCTTCTAATTACATGTTTTTCACAGTTCATTCCCAATCTGTCATCTCAGAGGCAGTTCTCGGTTATGTATCGATAAATGCAAAGGGAGTTTTGACCTTGAATTTGATTCAGTGCCTTCAACATCAAGTCTGCGACAGCTCAGCAAAAAAATTTCAATTAAAGATTTTGAAAATCAGATCAAGCTGAAGTTGAAAGAGATACGTGAGGAAGAAAATTCAAAAGATTGATGAATAATCACAAATCTTTGTGTGTACTGCAGCTGTACACAATGTGTCACAGCCATGTGAAGCCATTAAGACAAAACTTCATTGGAGCACTAACAAAATACATTGAGAACTTGCCTGCAGATCACATTCTCAGATATTGCCATCATCATCTATTCTACTACTCATAGATGCAGTCAGAAGTTAATCCAAGCTCTCTAATTTAACTGTTTTAAAACAGTTCAAATTCACATTGGCAGAGTTTCCTATTAACTAATTATTAACAGTTTCCCACAGCAAGGGAAAGCTGATAGCATGCTGGGGGGCTAAAACCAAACCAAACCAAACACCCAAGGAGTACCATTATGAAAACAGGAGTACTAAATTTTTAACACTTCAATGTGTCTGCAGCAGCCAGAAAGTGATGAACGTTTTTTATGCATTTACTAGAAATATACATACACCCAAAACCATAATCATATGGTAATTAGGAAAGTGTGAAAACTCTGAATCAATAAAATTTGATGCTGAAGGTCAAAATGTTTGAGATGCACAAGTAGGTTCAAGCTTTTCAAAATTCTCCTCTGCTCTCTGAAATCTGGGTTTTCCCAAAATACTGAGAAGGGCTCAAGTCAGTAATTTGCTTTATACTCACAACAATATGTTAATATATTAAAACTACAGAAATCCTTGTCTTAGGTTTACTGTATTTAAGCTTTTATTGTTAAAAAAGCAAAGGTAGTATTTATCATCCTTTATTGCTGTGTGAATAGGAGAACTTTACTACTAATACTGACCAATAATTCTACAAGGCTTGTTTATTCAAGTGGCTAATGCAATAAAAAGGGGAAAAAAATAAAAATTGAGTTAATTCTTAAAAGCAAATATATTTCCTCAGACATTAAAGAACTTTCATTATATGCTTAAGATAAGTTTTTCTATTTTATTTTTCTTTAAGATTCTATTCTACATGACATGCAGTTACCTAAGCAGAAGAAAATACTGCCTTAGGTACTGCACTAGGCTACAGCGGGGGCACAGAACGAGGGCACACCAGCACAGCTAAGAATAGATAATTACCCTGGATTCTTTGGTTCACTGTCTCGTGAACTTCCTCCCTTCAGCTTTCTAACCAGCTTCTCACTGCTGCGTCTAATGGAAGCACGAAGTTTGCTAAAGGAACCACTGCGTTTTAAAGATCCAGTGCCATCCTGAAAAAAATTGAACAAATGTGAAACTGCAAGAGCCTTTTGCCCTCCCCCAAACCTGGTTACAAATATATATTGATATTAATATAACCTTGGTACAATTACCTACATAGAGAATACCGTATAGCTACAACTTTACCAATCCAAAATGGTTCCTTCCATCAAACTGTAACAAAAATTTCTGAATTGTGAAGACATGCTCAAGCAACGATTCATAATAATTAGGAAAAAAAAGCCACAGTATGTCAAACCATTCACCATCACCATGTTACCATTTCATAAGAACGCATCGTGTTTAACAGAGTACAAGCCCCAAGTGAAAGCATTCCATCAATCTAGAAAGAAAACTGTTTTATTTTTTTTCTAAATATCTATGGTACTTGCAAACATGTTTGTTTAATCCTAAAGTCATTATGCGAAATATTTCTGATCAGAAGCATGTATGGTTAAATTGCTGTGCATCATTTTAACTCTCACCAAAGAAAACGTAAAACATGACAAAAATGCATTTTTTATATATTGCGTTCATGTTTTACACAGCTGTGCTCATCCAAAGCAATTTCCAACTGAGCACAATTCTGTTGGTATGTTTTACTCTTAAAAACAAAAAACAAAACAGTTTATTAAAAGTGACCACTTCCTACCTCAGAGATACCCTATGTGATTACGAAAGGAAGAGTTGTGGAAGAAGAAAGCAAAGTGCTACTAAGCAGACCAAGACAGACACCTGAGTTGGAGTGAGTTTATTAGAAGTTAGAAAGACAAATACACAAATCACTGAACACCAAGATTAGTAGAGAAAAGCATAATTGCCAAAATTTCACACAAAGACTAAACAGCAATGCTACTTTAGAATAATCATAAGTGAAGACATCCAGAGTTCCATATTGATGTTAACCATGTAATAGGTCTCTAAATACATTTTAAAGCACTTGGAGAACATGCCTTACTTTTACGTGTTTTGTTTTTTTCTTTTTTTTTTCTTTTTTTTTTTTTTGTTTTGTTGTGGTGTTTTTTCTCCTGTAAAGATCACCATCATGCCATTTCAATAATACCTTGTGTGATACTTTTAACTACCTTTTTTTTTTCCATAGTGAACAGCTACTTATAAAGTTCATTGTTACTTCTTTACTAATGTATTACACAGCAAATGGTTGTAATAACATTTTGTATGACTAGATACATATTTGGCAAAGCTACACGTGTACAGAAATAGAAAACCAAAAAAGACACCAGCACTGAAGGAATGGCCAGTTTACAGGGAAGTGTAGCTCTGACAAGAATCTTAAGGGGTTTGCTAAAACACAGCAGTCAGTACTGAAGAGAGAAGTTAAAGCTTGAAGATGGTGCACGCCCGTCATGCAGGAGACAGTATAAGAACCACAAAAGGCATCTAGGCCTGTCAGAAACGGAGAGAGAAAAACTGAATGAAACTGTTGGGAAAAATTCAACAGTTTTCAATTTTGAACAGTTATGTTTACAGTATTTCTAGGTCACGCTCAAAACTATTTTTTTTTCCAGAGTATTTGGACTGCGCTCAAGTACAAAGTGCAGGCCCTTGCAGTTACCAGAACATGAAAGTTTCTGCAGTTCAGCCTATATCACTGATGTACAATGTACAAACGAGCATGAATGATGCTGGGCATTTGTCATGTTAGAATTGGTACAAAACATAAAACATCTTTAAGAAGGGAGAGCCTTGATAGTTGCATTTTGTAAACAAGGAAAGGATTTTTCAGCTGACGTTAACGCAAAAATAAAGGAAAAAATAAAAAGAGAAGGAGGAAACAGAACAAGGTGCATTCATTTCAGCTTTAACTTCTGTCAGGATTTTCCTCAAACAGAACTCTAAGAAGAACGAGGTCTGCCCCTAGCCTCCAGACAAAATTCTGTTCATTCCCTTAGGGAATTAGAATCCATCTAACTGTCAATTCAGTCTCTTAAATATGTTTTAAAACATTTATGTGTTTGTATACACACATACAAATATACGTATATAAAAAAAAATCCAAGTGGAAACTTCTCTGCTTTCACTAGTGCAACGGGGCAGCTGAAAGAACTTGCCTTTAAAAATAATCTGGGGTTCAATCAACACAACCTCCACTCTTGGTACAAGTGCAGACAGCACTACTATACTGTCCATGTGTGTTGAGAGCCTTTACCTACAGCAACTGGAGCAGACAGCAATCAACACGAGTTTTGGAAGTGGCAAAATGCCGTGCTACCGAGTGACTGGGAGATCAAAATCTAACCAAAGAATAGTTGTCTCTCAAATCCAATTGCAAATGTTGGTCAAACTTTTAAGAATATGCGCTTCTGTTTGGCAGGGTTGAATAAACTGAAGTGTAAAATTCCAGTTAGAAATATTCAATTAATGAAGGATCAATTATTCCTATGTTCTTAAACTAGTCATGCTGCAGTAGTGACAATGGTCCAAAGACCAAAGGCAAGACAGATTTGGTAGGTACAGAGTATAACTTTTTATGCTAACATATTCAGAATAAGTAAGCTGCCAATTTTTAAAAACAGTAAAAAAAACAGCAAACAGTAAAACTGCTAATTTTTACATCACTCAGGGAATGAGAATCACCTTTCTCTGTTTGCTTACAGCTCCCCACTATTATTATCTCCTGTACTTTACAGCTATCAGCTACAAGGCCCATCTGATTTGACTGTCTGACATTTCTCATTAAACTAGAGCAACTTTTGCCAGCTAGTATATGGTAACAAAATTTACTGCTTTCATTTCACACCCGAAATTGGACTTGTTTGCCCCAAAGCCCAGCTTTTTGAAATATCTTTTATTATTCTAACCCATATATTTCCTTACACTAAAAAACTTTACCTTAAATTAAACATTATTATATCATGAAGATTTTTAACTGTCCTCCAGCTGGCTGCAAAATCAATTTACAAAAATGCCCATCTGATGTACTATCATTTTCTTAAAAGTGGTGCAAGAGGGGACAGATTTATTTTCTTCTTTAGAAAGTGACAGTGATAAAAAAGACAGATATACTAAACAATAAGAATCTTGAGGTACAAGAATAAATTTAAAATATTTGCAAAGATAATTTGCCAGATTTCCAATTTTTGGTGTTTTTACACAAAATATTTCATTGAATATTCAAATATCTTCTTAGATTTAAAGGACTGGCTTCATAAGAAACATTTAAAGATGCACAACCTTAGCTAATTTTAATTGTTAATTACAGATCTGGTTCAATATTTCACTTTTTTTTTTGTAATAATATATGACATTACATTAAAGCACACAGTGCTTACTAGGAATTTCATATAGAAGTCACTTAATTACAATGTCCTCTTCCAACAACAAAAAAATCATTGTTTGATGCTCTACAGACTCCATCTATTCTCTCTGACAGCGAAGAACATGAGTCAGCTTGAGCACCTCAGAAGAATCTAAATGGAAAAGGCAAGCCTTTCTTTAAACTCTACAGACAGCCAGATTAAAAATCTATTATACATTGTGAATCAGAATGTTTTGTCTGGAGGAAACACACAAAGGGTAAAAAAACTACACCATATATGTACAGGGAAGAACAGCACTGAGATGGAAACACTAGCAGTGTGGAGGGAGAGAGAGTTGCCCACTTTATATATAACATGTAATATAAATTCTTAAGAGGGAAAAAAAAAAAAAAGTAAATAATGAAGACCAGAATAAAGCAATGCCACTTGAACACACTAAAAATGAAAAATTTGCCTTGGGAGGAGAAAATTTAATTTTTCAGATCAACAAATTTTATCACTGAGTCCCATTCAAATATTGACCTAGAAATACTGTCCATTGTTTTTCCAGAAGGCCCTTTCAATCCAAAACCTGCATGCTTGTTTAATTAATGTCAATAACAGAAAAAAGTTTTATCCATTTAGAACATACAGTCATGCAAAGTACAGCAGAAATTCAGGGAGGAGTACAGTACACAGTTCTAACGCTGAATGGGCAAAATTAGAGTTAAAAAAAGTTATCCAACCTTCCTTTGGATTTATTAATGATGCAGTGTTATTCACGAGAGATGCTGATTGACTGTCTTGGCACTGAGAACACCAATGCCAAGAAAACAATGACAAGGAGACGAAAGAAAAGACGGAAAGAACATTCTCCTTTGAAACTAAACCAGTGTATGTTTTATCAAGGTTTCTTTGGAACTTGTATATTTCTAATATTTGTGAAGTGTGGCTTAAAAACAGACAAACGAACAAAAAGATTGCTATTGTAAGAGAAACTAAACTTCAGAGCGCTCAGTATTGCAAAGTAGGCTACTTCCCCTCCCATAAAGCAAAAGCAGGCAAGTACACCACTTCTATCATCCAACAGAGTGTTTTCAGCAGTACTACAGCTGGGAATTAGTTAACAGTGCAATTGATATCCCATTGCTAGCAATGGGATAAAGCATGGGAAAGCTGGTGTGGGAAGTCAACAGGTACATAAACCTGACCAATAACTGAAAGGTTGCACTGTCTTTGAAATAAAGGAAAGCAATAGTTAGAAGATGCGTATGTAATCACATCATGTGTGTGTTTTTAATTTGTGACCATCAGTGTTATGCTGTGAAGCCAAGACATAAGAAAAACAGAAACAAGCCCTGACTCCAGTTAAGTTCCAACATGGGAAAGTGATAGTAATATTTCACTTAAGAAATGTGAAATTGCTGTCATTTTCTTATGTGATGGCATTGTGTATTCAAATGGATTGTGTAACAGCCTGAAAAATTACACTGTTTCTTCTAGTAAGTTGTGTAAGGTGGAGACTGGAATTATTTTAATATTAGGCTCATCAATTTACTTTAAAACCTCTAACACTTAATACATCTCCATAGCAAATGTGATTCCAACTGATGCAGCACTTTCAAGGAAACATTTAAACTGTGGGCAAACATGGCATTGAAAGGACAAAAGCAAAAGCAAAAGTTTATTGCCAGAATATTTCTACCAGTAAAAAGAAACCCACTGAAAAGCAATTAAACATCAGACCATAACCAGGACACTCAATCAGCATTAATCAACTCAGAGTTAAATTCAACTGCTTGGGATTCTTTACGAAATTTCACCATTCAGGACAACAACAGAAAGGATGTTTTAAAGTTTTAAAACATTACATTTGGTTTTGATATGATCTTATGAAAAACAAGATATTACTCTTTATTTCTTAACTGATTCTGCAGAATTACAAAAAAGGCAAAGTAGATCAACCACGGACCAATGACGATACGATAGGCTGGTGAGGATTTGTGATGGTGATAACTGATCTAGGCTATTTTCTTTAACTGTGTACTGTACTTACCCCATTCCATTCTACGCTCATACTCACTTCCTCGCCTCCATCAGGCCCACTCTCGTATTTTACCACATCAACATTGAGGCTTTCTCGGCTTCGTCTTTTTTCTATGCTCTCAGGGTCATTCAGCACTTCAGCAACTCTCTGTTTATGAACATTGTCAAGACCCTGAGAATTGGATAAAACAGAAAAAGGTTTTATTTTATTACTTACTGTACTCATCTGCAATTCACACAAAATAACCATATCAATAAACAAGTCAAATACACAATTCCATTGCTCTGATTCTGCTTTCAACAACTACCTTTTGCATCTGAATACCTAATTCCTATACACAGTTGCATTTTATCTAAAATACTGACATATGAAACAATACAGTAATATATCCTTCAGAAATAAATACTATAGAAGTTAAATAGAATAGAATAATAGAAAATAAGCTTATAATAGGCAGAACAGACTAGATATACAGACAATAAAGTATATTTAGCTTGTTTTAAAGAATGCCTATCGATTACCAAGTAATCCTTTAAATATCTTTAAGGGATAAAATACTTTCTATGAGGTATTTTACCCTGCACTGAAAGTGCAGGGAGAAGTCTTTAGCACAGAAACTAGAAATAAAAATAAAGCCCAAATCATGTTCACTTTCTTTATAACAAACCTAGTCCACATCATAAATAATTTTTGCTGACAGGAAGAGATCCCAGAAGAATACCCTGCACATACAAAAATACTCTGCGTTTTTTACTTTGCAGCATCAGCAGCAAATAAAAGAGGGCATCGCTAGGGCAAATCCATGAAGTCCAGCACAATGTAAAAAAGAATACAGAAACCATGCAGAAATTCTACCTATTCTATTTTTCATAATGTTACATTCTAAAACAGCATTTATAACTGCAAATTTTAAAAATAGGAAGAGAAAAAGACAAACAAATGAAACTGATTCTAAGACTTGCACCGGTCAGTGATCACCTGCTCAGAACTAACCACATAGGCAAAAGATAGCTTGTGAGTATAAGCAGACAATTATTCTTCACTGTGATTATCCAGTAAAAAGCGATGAAATCCACTGATAATAGCTTACAAAAGCATTACATGTCACACAGGGTACTGGGAACACTATTTCTGATTTGAATGTAATCAGAATTTGGCAATTCTAAAAGGTAAACAATAATACTCTTCTGACATATTCACTCTTAAATGCAGAGCAAATATATGAATGACAATGAAGACTGCTGTTGTAGTGGCATGAAGAAATCAGGTTGTTGGATCACAACAGCTGCTTTCCACTAACTGAAGAGTTGGACAGCCTTCCCTAACGGAATTCTACACACGCGGAACCATGAAACCAATATACAACGAGCGTGTATTTTCATTTCCATGAGGCCATATGGCACAGAAAAGCGATTTGAGTTCACAGACGGCAGAGTAGCATAGACTCAAAACAGCTTTTGTACCAATCCTTTTAGCAGCAGCTTATAAAAAGCATAAATCTATTTTAATTCACCACTAAGGTGGTGATAACTCACATATGGACTTTAGGCTCTGTTCCAAAGCTATCATCTCATTTACCTCATGTATTTAAATAAATAAATAAAAATAATAATAAAAAATAATGAAAAACCACCACCACTACCAAAAAACAAACAACAACAAATGATGAGGAACTGCACTTTCCAAATTTGTTTGATTTTGTCAGGAAAGAAGAAGGGCAAAGAAAAGAACTTGACTGGTCTCCAAAAACCTAGCACGTACATCCCAGAAGCTAAGGCAAACAAAACTATGCATGAAGGAGAACAGAGCCACGGAGGACTGATGCTTTTCCGCACCTCAGAACAAAAACACCTCTTTGCTTTTAGCTCAGAAGGGGAAAATGCATTAACCCTGCCTGTTCTTTAATGCCCTTAATAGAAAGGTAGTGTTCAATGCTGCTAGGAAGACAGCAACTGTCTCCTACATGCCCAAGGCTAATGCTGCATGTGATGTGACATATGAAGGCAGTAATCGGTGTATATATTACATTACACACCAATGGAAGTTTTCTTTTTAATACGCAAATATAACTTCAAGCAATTTTTCTTTTCTTATACTATCATATTATGCGTATTTACCTTTGCTGTATCTCCACTTAAAAAAAAAAAAAATCAAAAAAATCACATGTAATGACAACAGTAAAACTAAGAGCCAAAGGAAATACATTAAGATATATGTTGCAATGCACATTCATTTCTTATTTTCAAATCACATTTCAGTGACAGACACACCAAAAAAACATCAGTAAGAATGTACCAAAGTCATTCTCAATAAAATAAAGTATCTGTATTGACTATTTCCCCCCATCCTTTAATTTCCCCTAATGAAGAACTTTTTTCCCACATTCATGCTTTGCTCTTAACAGTTTTTCCATTTATTTACATATATTCCATTTATTAACACTTTCTAGTTTTCCACCGTTTGTAGAAAAGTGAACTTGTGTCACCTTGTGTCAAAGAGAGCTATTGCTGAATTCACTAGGAGCACAGGAGATTTGCCAGGTACCTTTTGCTCTATCACTTTTCTAAAAGTCTGCTTGTATAATGCACCATACACTGAAAAAAAAAATCATTCTTTAAACGGAAACTTCAAATTAGTACAATCAATTAAATGAAAAAGTACATTATCAATAAAGATATGGCCCATCATTTAAGTGATTTTACTTGAACTAAGAATTTAAGCTTAGAATTTTAGATGGCCACATAAAAAATGCTTCTGAAAAATATAGATCTTATTTACTATTTACTATTCCATAAGACAATTAAAATTGAACTTTCCAAGGTTTTTTTAAATTTGTTTTGATTTTCATATTTTTGCTTTCCATCTCGACAATCCTTGTTTGCTTGTCCAGCGTTACATACTTTCATATTAGACATTCTATGAAATCATTTGAAAGGAAAGGAAGAAAACAAAAGCACTTTCCTATCTTTTAACAGTGAGAAAGCGTTATTTGAACAGGAGATTTGACAACACAGAGACAGCCTTAAAGAAAGCGGAGTAGTCTTCCTCAAACTTGAATCACCATCCTATTCTCTGCAACTGATAGGTTTGTAGTGGTCTTCCAAAGGTTAGAGTCAAGCAGTCTGCACCAGTCACAGTCAGTGACGGGCAGAACAAGAACATCTGTAAGTTTGACAGCTCATTATTAGCAGTGCATCTCAGACAGAACAGCAGTACTGGCAAAGGAGATTATCAACACAAACTCTCCATTCTCCCTTAGCTACAGTTCATCTCCCAGGGCATGTATCCAGCTGAGGACTGCTGGCCAACACAATGTTCTCAGCTTTTCCATTTTCCACATAATTTCACCCACAATTTCAATCATGTCCCAGGTACATGGTGTCACTGCCATAGCAATTAACTGTTTGGATGGTATTGATTTATCACTCGATCAGACTGAAATTCAAGGGGGACACCAGGCACCAGCCAGCGAATAGCTAAATGTTTATATATTCTGCATGTATGATAGATATTGAAACTGAAAGTCTGCATAACCATAATGCAGGGATAGCACTGAGGGGAATTTTCATACTTGCCTGTTTACGAGATCTCATTGCTGCCTCTTCTAATGTTTCAGCAGCTTCAAATTTGCCTTGCCGTCTGTAAAGTGCTCCAAGGTTCTTTAAGGTAGTTGTTACTGTTGGACTATTAAAAATGAATACATTAAATTCTTTATTAGTTTGTGAATTAAGAAAACATAAATGAATATATCCACATTTTTTTGCTATTATTAAACATCCTGAAATATACTATACCTTATTCACTGTACAGGAAGTATCCTGTTAAGCCATTTCAAACTGCACTACTAACTCACACTAGGATTAGTCAACAGCTCTGTACCTGAACATTAGTCACGAGCCTCTAGAGCTACCCAAGAGAAAACTGGAGTGCCATATCCTCATGTTTCTCAGATGCATCTCCAAAGGTTAAAATTTAGTTCAATCTTGATGTGTCCAACTGAGTAACTCCGAAGCATCCAGAAAACATACATGCTCATACATACAGTGACTGTTACTGTAGCATGCATTAGTCACAAAACAAATGAACAATTCCTTTCATCAGTTATTAGTATCTATTTTCAGTTTCTGTGCAAACTAGGTTTGAACAATAAAACTAAGGAAAAAGATAACACATTTCATTAACAAGTCTCACACTCCAAAACAGACGTTTTTGATTCAATGGCACAATGAGAGTTAGAATTAGTTCAATGGCAATATTGTTGCTTGAAGGTTTGTTTGCTCCTGTAACAGCAGAGGAAGGATTTCCTCAAGCATTAGAACAAACTAGAACATGAAAAACAAACCAACAAAATACATGGCACCTGGAGCTCAGGGTGAAAAAACAGGGCAGATTTCAACAGTACAAAGGTTTTTTTGCTTGTTAGATGCAAGAATTCAAGCAGTGAAGAAAGAAAAAACCCTCACTGAACATCACTAGTACGGCTTGCAGTCTTTTCTTCATTCACTGTACCATGTCATACATTAAAAAGACAGTTAAGGAACAAAATTAAGACAAACAAAAAACATTTCACCAACTATGATGCAAACTGAAATGCTTGTTACTTGTCTTCCATTTTAAAAGACACAATTTCGTTCTCACAAAACTAATATTCTTCAGGCTTTAGAAACTCAAATAATGCAGAAGTGTAGCAATTTATTTTTTCTTCTGCCAGCTAGAAACCCAAGGCTCAGTTATTTTACTGTGTTCAGCTCTGGAGCCCCCAGCACAAGAAGGACATGGAGATACTACAACTCCAGAGGAAGACCACAAAGATGATCAAGGGGCTGGAGCACCTCTCCTATGAACACTGAGAGAGCTGGGGATTGTTCAGCCAGGAGAAAAGAAGGCTCCAGGGAGACTTTACAGGCTGCCTTCCAGTACTTAAAGGGGGCCTACAGGAATGCTGGGGAGGGACTCTTGGTCAGGGAGTGGAGTGACAAGGGAGACAAGGGACAGGGAAGAATGGCTTTAAACTAAAAGAGGGTAGATTTAGATTAGATGTTAGGAGGAAATTCTTCACTCTTGAGGGTAGTGAGGCACAGGAACAGGTTGCCCAGCAAATCTGTGGATGCCCCATCCCTGGAGGTGTTCAAGGCCAGGCTGGATGGGGCTTTGGACAACCTGATATAGTGGAAAGTGTCCCTGCCCATGACAGGGGGTTGTGGGATTGGGTGATCTTTAAGGTCCCTTCCAACCCAAACCACTCTATGTTTCTATGATTATTTGCACTGTCTTCTTTTTTCTTCTGGTCTTCTCTACAGGTTTTGCTGGGGCAATGTCAGAGAGAGCATGTATGCCAGCCAACTGTATAAAAAGAAAGGTGACCTACACTAGATCTCATCAGCCTAGATTAAAAGCAGCCTCAGGACATGAAAACTGCTACTGTCTGTGTTCCTGAAACCCAGTTTTGGGCCTGAATATCTAATACTATAGTTTTTGTAGCCCCAAGCAAGTTGCTGTTTTGTTTTCGTTTTGAACATGCTTTAATCTGACATTGTTGGATGCTGCGTGCTGCTATCTGGTTTGTCCTGTAAAAAAAAATACCTACCTATCCACTTTGCAAGCTTTGTACCAGCCACCATATTCTCCAAAAGATGTGCCATCTTTTTGTTTTCCCTAAAAACAAAAATAACAATATTTAAGTTATAAATCAATTATTTTTATTTAATAAAAACTCCATAAAAAAGATGATGACAACGGCCTTACTTTGCATTCTTCCCTCTCTTCTGCATGCATCCAAATAGGCTTATTTTCATCTGATGAAACAGAAGAAAATATTTTATAGAAGTACAAAGCTACAAAGCATTCATTGCAATATTTTCACCCTTTTGAAATAAGGCTGAGAACCACAGAGTTATGCGACTACCGTAACAGAGAAAATCATTGTCTGTACTACAGAAAGTAGCACAAGATCAATAAAACTTTCTTCTTTTACAGTTTTCCAAATCTGTCTTTTTGTTATCTGAACTTAGGAACAGTTACTTCTGAGAAGCTTTGAAACCCATACGTATTGACACCAATTTGTCATGCGCCTAGTTATGTGCTAGCAAACACACATTTTTTTCTCTTATCGTAACAACTGTTTTGACATCCGAGTGGTGCATATGCTACCATCAGAGAATGCAATGAAAGTTCTTCTCTCTGATTTATAGTTGATGATGAAATGCATTTGACTCCAATGCACAGTGTAAATTACAGTAAACAACATTTCCCCCCATTCTTTAATTGTATTAATGAAGGACTTGTATTAACAATATATTTATTATGTCATGAAAAATCTTGTACTGACTTTTCTGTGAATGGAAAGTGACCTATTTTTTTGACTCTATAAAAATAGCAAAATTAGTTTCTGTTGTACATAAATTATGCCAGAAATATGATGCATGAGACATAAACCTAAACAAGTTTCCCTCATTTAAGAAAAACTCTCCTTTTGAAATAAACGTTATTGTTGTATCTAAACACTTTCTTATGATGTGTTTTGCAGTACTTCAATGCATTTGTAATCTCACTTTTTAAATCTGCCTCAAGCAGACAACAATTTTAACCAGGATACAATTGCTCTCCCACAGATTTTATTTCTTAACTACAAAAAATCAAATACACATTCAAATCTAGGGACTAAGTTACTTACCATCTACAGAGCCAAATTCCCGTTCATGAGCACGAGTAAGAATCTCTTTGTATAAAGTTTCTGCTTGCTTAAATTTGCCTTGTTTTAGATAGCAAGATGCCTAAAAACAAAATACCCCCCCCCAAAAAAAGGTATCAGCACACTGTTTTATTTAGGTTCGATAAATAATATAACAAATACATTCTGAATGAAGGTATGTTCAATTCATCAAAAAATGTTACTTTTTCTTAGATTTATTTATAAAAGGCTTACCAGGTTATTCTTTGTTTTTGCAACATTTGGATCATCTGGTCCCAGCTTAGTTTGGTAAATCTCCAGTGCCCTCTGATAGTAGTATTCTACCTCTTCATATTTACCCTGGTTCTGGCATAGTAAAGCCAAGTTATTTAACTGTTTGGCAACATCAGGGTGATCTTTCCCCAGCACCTGAAAAATCAAAAAACTTGTATTAAAACATTCTCCAGTCATTATATCAGGGTTTAGAAATGCATTAGTTAGACATGACCCATTGTATTTTATTCCTCAAGAATTGCAACATAAGGATGATGAAAGCAAATCTTGCAATAGAAGGACATGAAAACCACTCAATTCTATTACAAACTGAGAAGGTTGTAGAACAATTGGCAGTAAGAACTATGCTATATGTGCTGTATTATGCGAAGAAGTCTGAAGATGGAGATACTCAGTCACATGGACTAGAATAAATATCCACAGACTGAGAATAACCAAATTAAAAGCTTTACTGATATTTATTTTTTAAATTACAATGCTCTTGTCAAATCAAAGATTATTCAATCAAAATGAGAGAAAAAGGTAGAGAGGTTTATTAGAAAATACGTAATTTACAATATACCCAGAGTGCTCTAACAGCTCTGTAGGACTACTGAAATTTAATACCGTTTTGTACTTCAGACATTGGTAACTACTGTGATTAATCTGACAGATCTATCCAAATAAAACATAAACCAAATGTAAGGACGTTTACTCCCACCCCTACAAAAATCCATTCTAAGGTGCTCTATTTTTTTCAGTCATACCTTTTCTCTGATTTCCAGAGCTCGCTTACACAAAGGTTCTGCTTCTTTGTACTTTCCACGTTTACCATAAAGTACTGCAAGATTGTTTAGAGTTGCTGCCACCTGCCAACAGAATAGAAATATTACTTACTGGAATTTGCAGATACAAATATCTGACAAATACCATCAAAATTAATGTATCTGCAATACACTGATGCTTTCAAATTTTCCACAGTGCAGACCTCTTGAAATTTGCAAATAAAGAAATAAACATTGCCAAACAATACACACACAAAAAGAAATCTAAAAACAAAAACAAATAAAATCATGAAATAATTCATTTGTGGAAATGACATTTAGTACATTCTTGTCTTACAAAGTTACCCATCAAAATTATACTCAGATCCACCTCACTTTGACACAGGCTGCATGATGTGAGATACCCCAATTTTAAACACCAAGTACAAGTGTTTGATTTATGTTTCATTTAAAGGCAGCAGCAAAACAAATCAGAAGTATGCCTTCATTTCAAGTTTGAGAAAGTGATCTGAGTAAGCAAATTTAAAATCTTTCTTCACAAATTAATCTCCCATAGAAGATCCATGCAATCTGATCCAAAAATCAAGTAAGTGCAGATCATTCGTGGTGAAACAGCATCGAATATGACCTTCAAAAGGCACATTAAATATTTAAGAGAAAACGAAGAATTTTACAGTGTGACCTCCTACCTGTGCTGTTTAGAGATAAGCCAGGTCTTAAAAACCTTTCCTGTTGAGTTTAATATTAGAATGAGTTGGGGGAAAAAACAAACAAACAAACAAACAAAAACAAACAGTCAAAAACACAACTAAAAACATGATGTTGCATGTATACAAACCGCTGGATGATCTTTGCCCAAAGTCTTTTCACGGATAGCCAAGGCATCATTCAGGAGATTTGCTGCATCTTTGTACTTGTTCTGGTCTCTAAATTTTAAAGAGAGTCATAATTAATATTGGGGATTCAGAAGAGGAAGTCATAACAGTGAAGCTGGCTTCATTACTGGCCTAAAGACTGGCTACTACAAGAGAATAGTAACTGAGAATACATTCAGGAACCAGGAAGTGAAAACCTGAAGCCCATATCTATAAAGTAGTTGGCAGATCAAGGACTTTCCATTCTCCAATTTCTGCCTCTAGATCATCTGTAAGTGGGTAATCAAGACATGCCCCCTCAGTAAACCAAATAAATAAGCAAGCTTCACTCTAAAAACAAAAACACAGGCAAAAATGCAGCAATTTGTTTGTCTTTTAGCATGCGTAGACACATAAATATTGCTGAAACTTCTTGAAGGTTTTAATAAAAAACAGGGAATGGAAAATAAATGCTGAACGCTGACAGCCTATAGCCAAATATTAAATATTTAGTTAGCTGACATTTATCTGTTGCTATACAAACCTGTACACCAAAGCAAGTATGTTCAACATAGTGGCAACATCGGGATGATCATGACCTGAAGTCTTCTCCAGATCTTCAAGAGCTTGTTTACAAAGAGGTACAGCAACCTCATATCTACCCTGGGATGCGTACTGAATAACAAGATTATGAAGGGTCCTTAATCTTGCTGGAATTTCGTAGCCACCTTGTTGGGCAGCAGCTGCTGCACTGCTATGCTGCTGTTGAACTGAAAGAAATTCACAAGATTTTAAGTTGTTTTAAAAGATGACAGTAACTTGAAAACGTTTAACATTACTGCACAGTGACACAGAATGAGACTGAATTGTATTCCTTCAATACAAAGCATCGGTTCTAGAACATGCTTAACAGCAGTTATACTGTCTTGAACTATGACAGCAAAAAAGACCATTTCATTCTTCATATTCTGTCCTTGCTTTATAAACAAGGGTACTGTATTAATATTATTTCACTTTTTTTAGTTGAAAGGGTCAAATCAAATAAATGAAGAAAATAAGAAACCATTTCAGCTCAAATTATTAACAGTTCTCAAGACTGTAATAAGACATAATTTTACACTCAGAAATATTGAAGTTTTCCTGTGGAAGGAACACTAACACAGAGAAGTCAAGTACCTGCAGAAAAGTTCAACTGATTTATTCTTTTTTCCTTTATTCTCCTTCTCTAAATGTAGATTTTGTTTGCTTCCCTTTGCTATAACAGGAAATAATTAAGGTTGGCATAAAAAGGATTAGAACACCTTGGATGCCAGGAGTAATAATTACAAGAGAAAAGGCACCAAGACGAAGCCAGTGTCAACATTTTGGTTTTATTTACTAACCTTCATATTTAGCCACTTGTTTTCTACTAGCTACTAGGTTTTGGTTGTTTAAACCCCCTTCACATTCCTCTTTAAAAAACAAACAAACAAAAAAACCAAACCAAACCAAACCAAACAAAACAAAAAAAAAAAAACAACAACTCATTTCTCTTCAGCTGGGAGATTTCAGGAAAGATTGAGGAAAATCATCTCTTACTCATTTTCATTAAATTCTAGGCAACACACAGGACAAGGGTTCCAGCCATGAGCTTTTCTTCTCTCTTCTTTATTAAAGGAAAAACACTCACAGCAAATGAGAGTCTTTGTACTTCAGTGGAATCATACAACTCTAAGCCTACACCCACAATTACTGCTTACTGAAGCATTTGATTATTTTTTCCTGGAGGTCAAGAAAACTACTGAAATGTCACCCTCTTCTTTGGTAAAGCAAAACAGTAAAATGACAGATGGACTATGCAGGTATAGAAACAGTTTTGCCACACAACTTTCCTAGTATAAAATTCTAGATAGGGCAGGATGAACCCAGGATGGTGCTCATGCTCAACACTAACCTCTTCTACTCTCTTCAAATCCTCCTTCCATTGCTGGTGTTCACTACCATGCTATCAAGCATGCAGTGCACCTTGAATATGAGTCCATACTGGAAATTCAGAACTCTGATTACTAAGGTGGGGTGAGTCAGATATTTTTTTCTTGTTATTTATCTACTGAGAATCACACACCACCAGCACACTGCACAGACGCTACAATATCAATACAGTTATATAATATCAGCTTTACTACCATAAGAGAGGCAAAATATTTCATTAAGCAAAGCTTATCTATCAACGTCTTCCTTCACCCTCTAAATCAAACTTCACTCTACCCACTTTGATCAGTCCTTCTGACCTGAAGACAACACTTCTAGAATGGGTAATAAATTAAGGAAGACAATCTTAGCAGAAGATTGCCTGAGAAAGATTTCATGCTGAAACCTGCCCTAAAATGTTAAATCGGATAATTTAAAAGGTCATTAACAGAATTTACCATCTGGGCAGACCATCAGAAAGCTTCGCTCTTTCAGAGCACGCCTCAGTCAGTCTGCCACTCTGAGGCCCACAAAGACTCTGGGACCAATTTTGTGCTAAAGTCAGCTCCAAGAATTTTGCAACAGAGCTAGTAAACTGATTAAAAACCTAGGCCCTACACATATCAATCATCACAACCAGCTTTCTGGCTTTCCTGTTTCCTTATTCTAGTAGGGCAAGAGGCATTCAACACTCCACTCTATCCCAAAAGCCCCTAAGCATGGATTTGTTTTTTGGATTAGCATCTTTAGCTTTGGCACTGAAGAGATACATAGACATTGTAATTTGAAATGCACTTACTTCCTTGACCTTGGTCATCTTCATCATTGGGAAATAAGTCATCCAAAGGCTCTTTGGTGGAATCTGTATCTTTATCCTCCTACAGAAAAAAATAATAAAAATGTTACACTATTAAACCTAATGCATAAAAGGACAAGTCTATTTAACCTGCATTGTTAAAGGAACTCTCCAGTTCCAGACCTTTGGAATAGTCGAGAATAACATTTCTTGTAGAAGTTTAATTATGTTCAAATGTATTTACACACTCTGTCCTGAAACAATATGGGACACCTTCAGGAGAGACAGGAATAGAAATCAGGTCTCCTAGATTTCAGTCTTAATTTAAGCACACAAGAACACATTTGTTACTCTTACGAAGACATCATACCTACAGAAAGTACCCGTGGAAGAGTGAACACTACTAAATACACAATTGTCCACTGTACTTTGAAGTCATATATGCAGTTAGAGATGAGCAAGGGAGAGAAAAAAAGAGATTCATCTCCTGAAGGAGAATAAATTTGCACCAGCAATTTTAATTCTGTCACATCAATTTCTGAGGACTCAATTTCTGCACAAATAACAGGATTTTGCAATTGTGATCTGTAAAGTTCAAAAAGAAAAAAAAAAGCACTTGGAAGGAAGTTCATCTCCAATATTCAACTCCTGTAACCATACTAACTTCTGCAAGATCTATCAGCATATATTGATTTTAAGCATCCAAAGATCATTCAGACTCCCACAATCACATAAAACAAAGAAGCAGATCATCCCCTCATCCTGTTTCCTATATATGGAGCCCACATAATACTAACATTTCTGAGAACTTCAAATATTTATCTCAGTAAGTAGAAAATCCAAGAGCACATTCCTTTTTTTCTGGCTCACTATCCAGCACCTTTTCCTGTGGATGAGAAAAACGGATTTGCTGCTGTTGGCATTCAAGCTCAATGGTTGCAAAGTTGGGTGCTCTGCAAAAACTGCAGATTGATGAGACCGAACACCTGAGATCTTATTTTAAGTGTGCAGATTCCAAGCTTATTGTGAGTATACACAGTTGGCAAAAGGTTAACAGACTAGTCCACATGGTTAGTGAAACTATAATGATGCTTTGCTTACTTCATCCCTATGTGCAATTTCAAATAATGGTACTATTTACATCATCTATAGATTATAGTTCAACTTTTGGCACACAGAAATCCCAGTGCTTCCTCCTCTGAACTGTTTTCTTCTCCTTAAAGAAAGACTACCTAAAAGACTTCACTGGCAGTATTCAACTACTAATACCACTGAGAAGTTCTTACTAATACCACTGAGAAGTTCTGCATGCATCTGACAAAAACAGCTCATGGTACATTAAAAGAATTTGGTCAAGCAATTGGTTAAGCAAGACCAAAATGCATACACTTTCACCCATTATAGTCCTAAAATAGTAGGTTATGAAAAACTGTCCTTTCCAAGACATGGCTGAGTACATCTCAACATGAAATGAGATCTTTCTCTACAATACTACCTAAAATAAGAAAGCTAAATAAAAGGACAGCATGAAGAGCAAGTAAGTTATAAATCTTTTTAAGTATTAAGTTACTTATGTAAATTAAAATTGTAACCATCTTCTATCCTAACCTAAGAATATGTAACACAACAGGTTAGCTAAACATGACTGAAAACATGCAGATGATCACAATGTCTGGCAGAAGATCCAGAAAGGGGATTTAATGATATCCTATCCTAGTGTATAGCCTATATTGAGGCTACAGAGACTACATGCTACTTTCACTTGACCAAAAAAATAAAATAAAATAAAATCCTGCAGTCAATATAAGCAAATTCCCCACATTCCTACAATCTGCAATAGTTTGCACTCTTCACTTATTTTAACTGTTTAGAGTATAGAAGGAAGTTTTTGGTCTCAAGGTCAGTTCTTCATATTTTTTATGCTAATGTGATGCTAAATAAGTATTAATGGATTTTTCATCCTCATATGTATTTTATTATCTACAGGCAGTAAAGCATGTACTTTCTTAAGATAAGAACTGAACTCTAAGAATCTAAACTATGTGACACTGGTGCAAGGCAAGCATTTTAACAACATGCTTACGTGAGCAACAAATGAGGAGCTTGTATCTGCCATTTCTCTGTAACTAGATTACAACACATACATAAACGTGCACTGCTTTTTACTGTACAGCTACTTACTGATGGTGAAATATCATCGTCATATTTTTTTAATTGATTCATGAATTCTAGATGTTTCTTTTCTTCCTCCAGTTGGGCCACAGATTGCTCGCTCTTCTGTAGTTTCTGTTGCGTATTGGCTAGTTCATCCCGTAGCCACTGATTTTCCTGGCACAGCCGGCGAACCTGAGCACGCAGTTTCTGCTTCTCTGACTCCACTGCATTTAAGTGATTTGACAAGGCCATCATTACCTGAAAAGCAGAAGGTATCTCATGACATACTTCCTCCAGAATGCAGTCCTGTATTTAACACACAAGCCTTTATCACTTAAAACCTGCATCATCTGTGAAATGTGGTAAACATTTGGATTCCACCTTAATATGTACCTGATACTTGCTTTTCCTCTATTATTTTTATAAACCTTTTGTTCAATCAGAATTAACCCACAAATAGTCTTTGCTGATTACCGTTTTTCATAATGCTGTTAGAATTCAAACTGCTTTAGAATCTCTCCAAGATTACATATAATCTTAAAACATTATGAAAAATTTGAACTAAGACTCAGATTACTGAAATGGAAACTTCCATTCCATTAACACAAAATGGAGCAGTAATGCTTTTAGCCTGAAAGATCACCTTCCCTGTAAGAACTAAACCAGAGTACTGCTAATTTGACAGATTCCAAATAAAGAAGGGTTCATATTTATGTTTGGACTTCTTAAGGATGAACTCTGCATAAAGATAGTACTTCAAAGTGACAGTTATACTACTTAGATCTAAATGTGCACATGAACACACGATTATATAAGTACTTTACCTATATACACATATATCACAAGCTTGAGTGTGCTTCCAGTGTGTTTGAACAGTCACATAAATAGGACAAAACTAGAATGGTCATAAAAGCAGTCTATTTGGATATATATTTTTTTTTGCTAAATGATGTCAAATGAAAAATGAGCACATTAAGTGAAAGCCAAATGCTACACAAAGAAGACACTCTGCCTTCACTGTTTAATCTACCAGTGACACATCTATAAAAACACTTTGTAAAAAATGGCCAGTGGTGATAATAAAAATCAACTTTTAGATGAAATACTAATAACTTCAGGGTGTGAAACTCATCTTCTCAATTTCATGGTTCTTTAAAACAAAGTAACTTTGTGTGTTTTTGAGCTAAGTATTTCATCTGAAACAGATCATGTTTTTAACCAAAATTTCCGGTTTCCAGGAAACACCATAATAAGGAAGAAGTAGTTTCTAGAGAATTCATGTGAGATGAAACACCACGGATAATTTTCCTAACACCAGTCCAAACTTCTGGACTTCAGCACCTGCCTATTTACATATTCAAAATAATTTAAATTAATTTGCCTGTTCAAACTGTTTCATTTGCAACATCAAAAAACGTATTTAGGGAAGTTGCAATAATACAGTCAACATACTCAAACAACTTTTTATAAACTACAACAGCAAAGTAACCCCAGAGAGTAAGGTTGCAAAGGATTCTACATGAAAGAAAAGTTTGATTACTTCTTCAGCAAAATCAGTTTCATCTCGATGGAAGTTAACATGTACTTCATCGTATCTACATGTCACTCAAACACCCATAAAATACTCCCATATCTTAATTTAAATTAAGCAAGTGACAAAATACTACTTTGTTAAAACTCAAAGAGCACAGGAGGACTGGGCTTATCAGGCCTGATCAGTAGCAGCGTAAAATACAGTTACTTTCCTAACAAAGGCAATAAATGTGGACTTGGCTCCTCAGCTGCACCTCACAAAACACCAGCTAGAGTAAACAAGGCAATATTAGCAACTGAGGCTACAGAGCCTGACAGAGCCAAAAAAAAAAAACACAAAAACCTACCTTTTCAGAGTCCCAGTACCATGCCGAAGTTAGAAGACAAGGTAACTCATGCAGTCACAGATCTTCTACTAACACCCATTAAAGGTAACTCAGCTATTACAGTTTTATGCCGTGTATCTTTTAGCATTTTCTTCCAATACATGGCATCAAAGCATGCAAATAGTAAGGCCTAGCAGACTGTACTAAGTCCAGGGTTTCTACATTCCCATGTGTAGCAACATACATTTGTTCTTTTTCTCAGACCTCCGCTCACCATTACCCAACACACAACTTCCACAGCACCAAACAAGAACAATCCAGATAAGAAGACTGAGCACAATGACAGCCCAATACAAAGCCTATTAATATAAAGTTATCCTATCAGCACCTTCAACCCATTTGCCATTTTATCTTGATGTGTGTGTTGCATCCCATATATTTGGTACTGGATCAAAAAAACATGAAACTCCTGAAGTTGGAATGCCAACAAAGTCCCCACATTCTGACTAAACATTTTCTCAAATCTCTTCTGCAGATGATACCTTCATTCACTAAGATAGTTCACAGAAGTTAGTTCTGAACCCTTTCTTTTAAGCATAAATGAAAGTTGTTCAGATTCTATACTAAACCCTTAACCTTTAAAATGTGTTTAAATTCAATTTTGGTTTCACAAAACGTTCAATAAACATTCTAGATTCTTACGGCCAGGGAGCATCGTGAGCTAGTATAAAAGAATCTTAGAATTAAGGCAACAAGAACATGGATTTAAGGTCATAGAAGAACTCAAAGGTTGGGTCTCCTAACGCTGAGCAAAATCCTGTTTTATATTATTAGTGTGTGATCTCCCTAAACAATAGCTCAGAGTTCAAATGCCATTGCTTAGTTCTTGTTTGAGCAGCTCATTACCTGACCAATGCCATTGAAAAGTCTAAACAGAAAATAGCAACTATCCCACTGAAGTCAAGGGAAGCTCAGTTATGGGATTCAGTGCTTCGATACTGAATGGATAATTAGTTCTGCACCACAGTAAGACAGCCTCTAATAATTAGAGCAGTCTTTTTCCTTAACATACAATAACAACTCACATGTCTCAACATGCTGCTGATATTCAGTAAAGCAAATGTACATCTGCCAGAACTGATCTGTTTATTTTAAATTCCAATTAGAGAACAAATAACGATCTTTCATTAATTTCTTCATACTAAAAATTCAGACAAATTCTGAAATGCTTTATTTTCACTTCAGCTTTACCTGTGCTTCACTAAGGCCAAGTTCCAGCATCTCCAGTGACTTTCGAATCATGTTTGATTTCTCTTCAACCAGATTAGTTTCATCATCTTTCTTCAAACATTTCAGTGTTTCAAGTAAGCTCTGTAAAATTGAATTGTGTTCATTCTTCAGTGCCTCTAGTCCATTAATCACTTGCTTAGTTTTGGCAATGATTTCATCTTGAGTAAGCTTCTCCAACTTCTCTTCCTTTAGATACACCATTGTGGACATGTTTTCATACATTCTGAAGAAGAAGAGCATACTAGTTAACCACAGGGTACAAAAAAAAAAAAAAAGCAACAACAAAACCAAACAAACAAAACCCAGCCAAGCCATTCTCTACAAGTGAATAAAGCTTTTTTTTTTTTAAGAAGTCATTCAAACATAATTGTTTTAAATACATACTCATAATGTAATGATATTTTTGCAGAGCTTTCACAATGTTTTACATCCTGGCTTTGAACAGCAAGATTTCCAGTTTCTATTTCCAGAGTTAATATCAACACTAATTCATAAGGCAAACAGCTGAAAATAAATAAACAAACATGGCAAAAGACTTTCCAATAACCCCTGAACAATCGTGCTGGTTTTCTAGGATTCTGGTTTGTGCAGTAGCTGGTGTATAAAACATACGTTATAATACCTACAACTGAAGCCACTGATCTACAATTATCTTTACAGCTATTCACAAACTAGAATTTGAAGAAATACCATCCAACCTTCTAAAACGGTTGATCAATCAAACTTTGTCCTTTTCTAGGAGCAAGAAAACACCATCTTGATCCTTTTCCAGGGGGGTACGAAAGCTAGTATCTTTATGTATTTTGAAAACAACAACTGCCCCCTAAGATTACTTTACATCCATTGTTGTTCCTGTAGAATTCGATATAGATATTCAATTGTCTACAGGCCTAGACACAACTGTTTTGGGTAGGCTACAACAGCTGTTACGTGCTAGAAAAAATGATTTGTATAACACAATCCTTGTGATAAATGTTTCACTGTGCTATTTAGTCAGCATGTTGCACGCTTTATTAAAGCTATCAAATTTCTGGATGTTTGTAAATGCCTCAACCAAGTGCAAACTATAGAAACTCTGGTATTTCTACCATTATACGTCCTGCTGCTGAAGTGACAACCAAGTATAACAATGCTGCAATATGAACAGAAGACAGAAATCACTTGATTCTGTTTCTGTATCACCAGAAAAATGTTCTATAATGAAAAAAAGAATTCAGGAATTGTTCCTTTATACTTAAGATATAAATATCTTCAAGTGTACCAGAAGTATAAATTAGAATAAAGTAGTAATGATTTTTCAAAAACCTTTTCACATCTATACAAAAACACTTGTGGAAGCTTTGATAAATTAATGTTTAAAGTGAATTTGCTAAATTGCATTAACATCAGTGAGTATAACTTAAGAAGAAAGCACCCCCAAAACTTATAATCACTTAAATCTTGAATAAGAGTGTTTTAGGAACAAGCAATACATACACACATGCCTTCATGGCTACAGCTAAAGGATGTGCTTGTACTCTACTCTATTGTGTAAAAGAGGTTGTTCATTCTCTTTACATACACTCAAATCTCTGTTACAACTTCCTGCAATGTGATTTGTAAAAAAATTCATTCCCATTTGTCACAAAAGAGCCATATGCTACACTAGTTTATTTTGTTACAATCTATTGTCTGAAAACACAGATAACTTGGGGAAGCAGTGGATTAGGTTTAATGGCAATTTAGTAAAAGAACTTCATATTCACAAACAGACGCATAGCATATACATCTGTATCAAACATCTACTCTAGCCTGGTGTAAGAAACTAGCTCACCAAAACATGATGAGCAGAACAATTATTACACAATTCCCATTCAAAATATGAGAAATATTACCTAGAATGTTTAAATACCATTTAAAAAACACATACTCTCTAAAATTGTGTGTAAATGGATTGCAGTTTAATGCAAACCAAGTCTGTAAATAAACGCAGCAAGCACAATCGTGTAAGAAATCGTTGTGGGTTATGCTAAATTAACCTATAGCTGAGCCCTAATTACCATCCAGCATGCTGCCATGCTTTCAATTAACAGCTTCTGCCCTGAATGCAAAGAACTGAACCTTTGATCATACAGAAATAAAAGAGCAAAGGACATCTTTTGAACAGGGACTTTCATTTTGTACTTGAGAAGCTGTGAGAAATGTCATTTGTAAATACTTAGAGTTTTTCTACAACATTTAAGTTTTCCAAAATAAGCAAGTGTTAATTTGCTTCTGTCTGATGTGAGCAGGGACAGCAATTCCTCTGCGTGCTTCAGTGCTTTGTAGTCATTCTGTGACATCAAAGATGGAAGGCAGGTGTGTGGGCACGTGTAAGGTGTATATAGAGGCTGTTAATAAAAATTGCACATTTTAACCACCAAAGCAGAAGTTAAATGAATGCAGATAAATGATCAGCCATGCACTGTTACAAAGAGGATATATAAAACCAAGAAAGTAATGCCAAAAAATACATTGGGCCTTGTAACACTCATCCCTTCATGCAAAAATGAATCACATAGCCTGGGGAGAACCCATCCAACAGCAGAAATCCAGAACAAGAAAATAATCTGTGTGCACCACCACATCTTAGGTGTGAAATGGACACCAATTTGTTACTACAGGGAAAAAGGGCTGTCAGATCCTAGCTAGAATTTGGCACGTAGCTCTGGCTGAATACACAGAAGGTGCAGTTCAGGAAGGCTAAGCCAGCATAGAAACCTTTGAAGAAAGGAAAAGCAGGTTTAAGAATTTATTTTATACCCAATGGAGACAAAAAAGATGCGTAGAACTGATTGCATAAGGAAAGGAATAAATCTTTCTATGTAGGTTTTGTAGGATGTTTAAGTATCTCTGAACAAAACACTACAGAAGTTTGGAAAATGTTGTCCACAGCAATAATGTATATAACTGAACAAGTGAGAAAAAGGGAGGGTATCAGACATACAATTTATTAAGCTATCAGATTCTTTGTAAGAGTAAGATTAATAAATATTTAATATCTTTTACGAGTAACATGGAGGTATGGTGCTATTTCTATGATTTAAAAAAAAAATCCATTTTAAAAGGGCAAACCTATTCATCAAGCATGACTGTATTTGACAACATAATCATGCAATTAGTTTGGCATAGCCTGAGCCCCCAAATCCCACACAGGCAGCAAAAAACTTGAGCTTGTATGCAAAAGTAGACATGCACACATCCAAGTGAAAAAGGACAAAACCTACTGTACACTCCTATTGCCTTTTTTTCTTCCCCAGAAAAAATCTTTATGTTCCCCCACAGAAAGGAAAACAAACAAACAAAAAAATAAAACAAATGCACAAAACAGCACACAAAGGCTTCTTAAGCCCCTTTCCATTTTACCCTGACATCAGCTTGCAGTCCAAATTTTACCTGTTACAGAGCAGGGGTTCTAGGTTCAAATACTAATCTTGTAATTCAATTTACAAGTGACCAAATAAAAATAAAAACCAAGATGCACAAAGGTTTAGAGCTGGAAAACAAAACCGTGGATCAAGGGAAAAAATGCATTGTCAGAGTTACAGACTAGCCTGCTGGCTTAGTCAATGTATGTATCAGATTAAATACGTGCCTGAGTAGATCTTGAGTGTTAGCATCCTGTTTATTTACCACCAGACCGTTCTGTGTACTAAGTCGCTTACCACTTTTCAAACACCTTTAAAAAGGAAGCAGTTTGCTTCTAACACAAAAATAGTGAACTTGGCCAGTTATAAAGAGCTGCACAGTTACACCTACTAAAGCGGTTTTTGCAGAATTTCACACCAATCAATTTTGTAACTTCATTCAAAGAAATAGATTGGGAATACTAAAAATCTAAACCAGAGGAAGCAGGAACAAAGGAGAGCCAAGGCTACTGTCATATAGCTGCTGGGATAATCCCATCATATACAAACTACTTACGGGCTGTATCCTTAATCAGTTTAAGTATTTTTTTTAGCCATAAAACTTTTAAAACAATAACACTGGTACTGCTGACATTACAATTTGTGCCCAAGCTCTCCTACGGACACACATGTATCTAGTGAACTTCTCAAACTCTTATTTAAGGATCCTGTAAACACAAATAATTTTCTGTACTCACCTACTTTAAAAAGTGTCACTTCCCTGCAAATTCCAAAGGATAAAAGGGTTCACGCTTAAGGTGAAATTTTACTTAGATAAAAGAATACAACATCATTTCTGCTTTCTCAAATGAGAATACACACAACCATACAAATCCTCCTCTGCATACAAGAACTTATCAAGGCAGAACACTTCTCTCTTCTAAGAAACCCATGACTTTTTTTTCTTGCCTAAAAACAACAATAAAACAGCTGGAAGTCTTTGTTAAAAACTTTATTTCCTTATTATATATCTCTAAAAGTTTCTTCTCTCTGTATTGATATTTTCATGATTTAATAGGTCACATTTCAAGTACTAAAAGCTTGGAAGAAACATTTTAAAATGCATCTAGACTCTGACCATCACTGCTTGAAAATAAAAAAGGAAAAAAAAAATCTGTCAAGTCCGGCAACAAATCAAATTCTCCCTGAAATTTTTCTTCTGAAAATATAGATGGGACAGCTGACACAGTAAAAGCTACAGGAGCTCCAAGCCATGCCTCCTTGCCCCATCATCTCCATGGGCTGGAAAACTCCACAGATATGGCATGTATTAGTTTGACCTTTCTGTGTCTCTAATATGTACCTATCAGCTCACTGTTTGATAATAATAATTGGTCTGTTGGAGGGCTTTTAACCCTAATTTCACTTAGTGTCTCCTTAATTACATAGCAAGGCTCCATACGCTGTACGTGCTGGTTTCACTCTGTGTTAGTTGCCATCTACAAGGCCTTAATTCCCAGTTCAGCCCAGACACACATCTCACTGCATCGCAGAGCTCTCCATCTTGAAACGCTGCTACCTGCTTTACTGCTCATCTGCGCAGGGTGGAAGACTGCTTCTCAAACAATTCCAACAGGATCACAAGCTTTCCAAGCACAAAAAGATCATCAAACACAATAAACTGCCTGCCATGGAAGAGGAGTACTATGTCAACCACTACATGAACTGCACCTCCTCCTAACAAGGCAGCTCAGGGCACACGCCCGTCAGAAATGGCAGGGATGAATCACCCGGGGATGTCTTTCATACACTCACAGGCGTTTGTAAAAGGACTCGGGTAAGGAACAGCCAGTTTGAA